TTTTGTCGCGGTATTCTCGGCTTAATTGGCCCGATAGATCAGTCGTTTGATCTTAGCTTGTTGTGGCTATCGACTTCGCAAAAAGCACGGCGCGACCTCATTACGGACAGTGCCGCGCAAATGGAAGGTAATGGCGCGATATAATACTAATCGCTATTTAATTGTCTCACGCAAACGTTTTCCCGGCGTTTCCGGTTAATTTTCCGTTTCCGGGTCTCGTGTCGGCGCGAGAGTTTACCGTCCCGTGCAATTGGCCCGTGCGTGATTCCGATTTCGCGGAATCGATATTCCTCCATCTCCTCGTGTCTCTCGGTATCTCCGACGCCCCATTCGTCATACATTTATAGCTGAGGTCAGTGTGAACGAAAAAGTCCTGCGTCATTTTGCAAACAACCGCGGAAAATTTAGAATTATTGAAAGTGACTGTATATATAGAGGCTACTTTAATTAAACATTTGCGGTTGGTTATTTGCAAAATGGAAAGGGAAATTTTTCGTTCAAAATGGCTTAATCTACAATCCCTGTAACATACCTCTCCGCTACGTTGCCACCCCCCGCCTCCCTCTTGACCCGATGGAAATAAGTGAAAACGGGTGACGCGAGACGGGACGTTCAATCGGAGTATTGGATATACCAATATTTGCCGCGCCGACATCTAATGGATTTCTTCATTAGTATAATGGCGAGAGAGCTCGCGCGCCGGGATTATCGAGCGGAAAGTCCCGATATAGCGGCACGGTGGATGCTGTTTTAAACCGGCGCTGCGATCATTACGTAACGTCTTCTCGCAATAAATAAACCTCGCCCCCGCGTTCGCTCGCTCGCTCGCCCCTCACCCTCTCGCGCGCGCATATATTAATACTCATTCCGCAAAATGCACGTTCACGCCGCGGTTATTATTACACCGCTGCATCCTGGCTTTAATTGCGATTATTGGAAATTACGTCCGAGTTCGTTCGTCGCTATCGACGTTTCCGATCGCGGTGCCGGACGAGAAAATTACGCGTGACCTCCAGGTCTCGCGATCATTCGATCTCCCCCGACCTCGGAAGAACGCGCGGAGACCGTCGGAGAAGCGTCGTCGCCGTCAATGAGCGTCTTTCTTCTTTGTCTCTTGGCTTGGTGACTGCCGGAAGGAGAAGAAGCTTAGCGAGAGAATCGGCGATTGCCACGCGCGCTCGTGGGAACCGTTTAAAGACCGCGACCTAAACCCACGCGGCGGCGGCGACGCGGCATTAACACGTAACCGTGGAGGTCAATGACTGCGGCAAATCGATCGAGAGAGCCTTACCTGTGCACGACAGTGAGTCTGCCGTTGCACAGTTGCACCATTGCGCACCGTCGATGGAATATATTCACCTTTTGCACCGTTACCATGCGCAGGTGCAAGCCTTCGCTTCTGTCTCCGCTCTCTCCTTTCCGATCGGTCTCATCGCGAAGAAGCGGAAGTGGAAGGAACAAAGTCGCGGTAATCGGCGCGATTAAAAAACGATGAAAAAGGAATTCGAGGGGGGCGACTTCACAGGCAAATAGACGGCCGGCTGACGTCAGCCGGATGTATCCGAAAACATTCGGGAGCGTTTCGACCTAATTCCTCCGGTCGCTCGACTTAATCGGTCGTGAAGGTGCGCGCACGCTCGTATACATCCGCGGCGCATATCGGAGCGCGTTGGCGTCTATTAAATCACTTTGAGAGAACACGCCGTGTTCGAGTTTTACCGCGCGAGTACGCTGTTTGCGATTTCACACGTTCGGGACGACGTTCTAATTACGCGTCCTTCTTCCCGGCGATATCGGGCTATAAATAAGATCGCCGTAAACTCGGAGACGTTTCCTTTTGTTCCGAGAGCGAGAACAAATCGTTCCTCACAAAAGGGGGGCAAGTTCTCAAGGAGAACGTTCCTGCCGAATCGCGGCGTCGTCCCAATTTCGACGAAATTCGACGGCGATAACGCGTTCCCCTGTATGCAATTAAATGCTTCCGCTCGCGTATCGACCGTCGCGAATTAATACGCGCTCCGAAAGAGAGAGATCGACTTATATGTAACGATAACACGTAACTATTCCGAATAGAAATTGAAACAGTTTACGGCGAGTAACTGGCCGAGAAGTCAGTATTATTTGGACATTTTCTGAGCAGTTAATGTCTAATTAATTCAAGACAGCAAAAACCGTCCAGTTTCTGTCTAGTGACTAGTTTTCCCCTAACATTTCTCTACTCGGGATGCATTTTTATACAACTCAAAGACGAGAGCCACGGTATTGTACGCTGCAACGAAAACGCGCTCTAATAACGTCGCACTGCCTAACGTGTTTACATCTCTCGCATGGGAGAGTATCTCCTAATGACTTTGTTGAAGAAGTGTCATTTAGAAAAAAATTCAAGATAAACAGTCTAGATCGTGTCAACGGAGATTTCGAGAGAGTCTCCGATGTGGAGCGAGGATTATCATTTTTTGTTGCGCAATCGAGACACCGTTAATAGAGGAGAATGCCTGTGTTTATCGGCCGGTCATTGGCCGACGCTGGCCGACGTCACCAGCGTCCTTTTACGCGCCAAAAAGGAATTATAGATTTTGTCGCTTGCTGTAAAACGCATCCCCCTCCCCTCCTCCTCCCTCGCGTTATTGCGCTCGTTGCAGAGGAGGAACGTTGCTCGCGTTTTATTTATAGTCGATGAAACACACGGTGCTCGATCCGAGCTAACTCCGAGGATCTCAACGGCGGCGGACTACTTTTCCCCGCTGTTTCTCTCGTCGAAACAACTGCGATTCGGAGCCTAATCCTCCCGGTAATTAGTCCCTCTCGGTCCTTTTCGGCGGTGCGGTCGCCGCTTGAAGCCGAAATTACCGGCCGCTACTCCGACGAGAGTTTCATCGAGCACCTCGTATACACGTTGCGCCCTAACGAGCGCAACGTTCAATCACGATCCGTTCTTTCTGTCGCTATTACCTACCCACGGCCGCCTATTGCTAACTAGCGTCCTCAAAACCCTCTCCCGCTGTGTGTCCACGATTCATGGAACTTGATTGACAGCGGGGCCTCCGCTTTGATTCGACGGTCGGGCAAACGAGCAGCTCGGTTTCAAGGGAATTACCGAGATGTCTGTATGTTAATTTCAATTAGGCGAATTCGGCAATCCGTTTTGCTAAATCAACCGTTGCGCTGGCAGAGCTAATATTTCCTCTTGGTGATTGCGCGCGCGCTCCTAATGGAATCTTTATATATTTCCTCGCCGCCGAAATATTTCCCATCATGCGACGGTCGAGTGACACATTTTCGCGTAGAAATTGGCGATAACATGTTCCGCGTCCATTTCCCCATCTCCGGTGCGCGGAGCTTAACGAACGAGCGAAGAGAAAGGGATCCTTTCGCGCGTCAGTGGACGCGATCGGAGCGAACGGCCGTTGCGAGACCAACATCTCTCGAAACCGACGAGCGCGTCGTGTGAGAGGGAAGGAGGGAACATTGTTCATTATACGATTATATATGATTTCTCCAAAGCGCTTTGATACTATGTAAGAACTATTCTCGAAATATATATATATAACAGGATAGAAATGAGGGAGAGAGAGAGAGAAAATCAACAACAGCCCGGTTTTGTCGCGGGAACGTTACTCGGGCGACCTTTGCGAGCCGCCGAAAAACGGGGTCAACCGGGGTTGTTTCTCCGATTCACCCTCTCCCCGATCGGTGTCATGTCTTCGCGATAACATGGCGCGTGCGTGCGCGAATGTAGAAGAGCGCGCGGAGCAAGATCACCGGCGGATGTAGATCGATGCAGCTCGCGCTTATGGCCGGTAATCTAAAACGCAACTACCAACCGGAGCTGACCCATTTCCTCGTGAGAGGGAGAGGGGAGCATTACCCGGCGAGATAAATTTTCGAACCTGTCCCCGGCTCCCGTTGTTTTCCGACGACCTGGCAGCAGCCCTTCCAGCACCCTGACCTACGACCTACATTCGGCGCGTCCTCGTTCCGCCCTCCCCTTCCCATCGAAAGGACGCGGCCATCAGCTGTTCCCGATGGTGGAGAGAGAGAGAGAGAGAGAGAGAGAGAGAGAGAGAGAGAGGAAGAGAACCTCCGATGCATTTTTACGCACCGCTGCACGTCCACGTGTCCCGTTCCTCATCAAACGTCTACGGTTTCTGCGATGTCGTAGGCGATAACGTCTACGATTCTACTTTATTTCCCCCAGGAATTTCTTGGAGGAGCTCGTCTTTGTTGCGCATCGATGATCTCCTCTGGTTCGCGCGATGAGATTTTATCTGATGACTTTTTCTTTCTCCCTTCCTCTCTTGTGTCCCCAGTATTAATTTCGTTCTACAATGCGAACGCAAATTCTGTCATCGGGAATTTTGAGCAAGTTAATCTTCAATATCATCGTAGTTTTCCAGCAAAATCTTATTTTTAATTCAGAAGATGTTAAAGGAAGAAATTAAAATCTGAAGGGACATGTATAAAAAGTGTCAATTTCAGTTGCAAATATCTCAGCTCCCGAGTGGTCAGACTTTTTCTAACCGCACGAAACTAATAGGTCTGTTCTTGAACTGCACTGGAATTTCGTTTCTTTTCCTTCCAACGCTAAGTTGTCTCACTTTGACGGTAAAAAGTGCAACCTAGTTCAGTAACGGAAAACAGGCGAAATATTTCAATGTGTAAATAGCGCAGGTTTCATCGAATTCTTCGTTCAAACTAATATCATTTTACAACCTCCTTAAGAGCGGAGAGCGCTGACCAAGCCCCGAATCTCGCCGCTGCCAAGAAAGAATGCGCGCCGCTCGCATTCTCCGTCTCGATTGCGGCAACGGTCCGCTTTCTAGATCACCGTTCGTGCCTGAAAATACAGACGCTCATAGCGCGATTTAGTTGAACCGGTTGCAACCCGGTCAACCGAAACGCATTTTCCGCATATTTCGCGATAATGACGGTATCTTCCGGAGGATCCGATAATTGCGATTATCACAGTTCCCCTCTCTCTTTCCTCCCGTGTGTCTCAGGTATGATCACCGTGGTGGACGGTATGCCGGTTCTCGCGGATCCTCTTAAGGAATGGAAGATCCTGGTGACCCATTACGGCGGACTGGCCGGCCTCGCCCTGGTCGGACTCCTCGTGGCGGCCATCCTGCCCTGCGCCGGTCTCTTCTTTTGTTGCTGCAGATGCGCCGGCCACTGCGGCGCCCGAAGCCAGCCATTCGACAAGAAGCACGATCATTGCAGGAAGATTATGCTCAGCATCGTGCTGATCGGCGTCGCCACCATTCTGCTGTGAGTATTTCCAGCGGCGGAAATCTCAGCCGATTTGATGAATTTCTGCGAGCGTGCACACCCGTCTCGATTTCCCTCAACTCCGGGCTCGACGCGTTACACGATCAGCGATTGTAAACGAGAAAATAATTCCGCTCGTAATTACGATTAATCCGGGAATTTCGAATGCGCGCTTCTCCCGTACGTAAAGGATTAACGAACGCATCAATACGCTCGTGTTCGCGCGCCGCATCGCAACGGATGGATAATTAACTTCACAGTCCTTCCTCGAAATTTAATTATCCCGTACGTGCAATTTAATCGGATGTGGCATTAATATCGCGGGATATCAAACAATGTTAAACACGGCAACATCCCTCGTGTAAAAGCGGCCAACAATGAAGTTCTATTGTCGCCTCGTCGTCGTTCCTCCATCTCGTATAACAGCGCGGATAACGCTAATAATGTTTAATTAATAATTGCAGTTTCGGCGTGGTGTGCGCCTTTGTCACCAACGAGTACATGCAGGAGGGCACGAAAGAGCTTCCGCACAACGCCAAGAGCAGTCTGAAGGACGTGAAGCTTTACTTGAGCTCCACGAAGCAAGAGATCGAGAATTTGCTGAAGACCAACTGCGAGGAGCTCGAGGTCACGCTCAACAATATCCTGCAGGCCAGCGGCAAGATCGTCACCGAGCAATTGGCGGAGTATTCGCACGCCGTCTCCCTGACGAATCTCAATGACATAGTTACCGGCCTGGAGTCGATCAGGGAGGATCTCAGACTCATGAATAAGATAACGCAGGAATTGCGGATAAACGCCAGTCAATTGGACATCGGTAAGCGTTCGAGTGTAACTCCCTTGAAGCGATTATCTTCGTCGTCGAACGGCCGGCAAAACGAATTCAACTTTCTTTGAGCTCGCATTATGATAACGTGGAGAATAATAGCCGAGTCGAGCTACTTGATCGTTCTTAAACCGAATTTCTACTTCGATATATGAACAATTTCATTAAGATTCGGTCTGAGAAAACAACTTGCCTCTTCAGTTGTCCGTGGCGTCAAGAAGAATCTTCTCCACACGTTAGCTGCTTGCACGACAGACAAGTGCCAACGGGTTCTACACGACTACAAAGTGAATCAAATGTCGGTCCAAGTAGACTTCGATAAGGTAAGTAGCGGCGAGTTGTTTCTTATCTCGAGTACTACTTTAGTCAGTTACTTGACGAGCGTTTTCCTTGTTTACACGCAGTACATGGACCGATACTTCCCGAAGGTATGACTTTACGGTGAAGGAATCTCTTTTTTACTATATAACGAGATATCAAATAATTTTAACAAAAACATGCGCTCGGCCCTCGATATAGCGAAGTAATGTTGAAAGAGAGAATCACGAACGTTCTCGACAACGTTCCACGCATTATTTTCGAATCAGGAACTATATCGAGGTCCAGATGCATCAAGTACAAGATTGACGCTTAAATGTATCGAAACGGTAGATTTGTACAAGGCTTGCCTTGGCTTTCGTTTGCTTATAGGTAAGGCTTCTTAGAATAAATTTCTAATGCCACAAGTCTTACTGAACAATTATACTCATGACTAATTATATATATAATTTATATATTATATATATAAAAAATTATATATATAATATTATACATAATTATATATAAAATGTAATATCATTAATTTTTATTTTTAATATTATCACAAATTTTTTTTAATGAGTATATATTTATATTTATCGAGTAATATTATATTATCTAGTTAGAATTGACTTTTCGTTTTGATTTTTACGTCATCGACATTTAAATATCTTTTCATTCGCTGAATCTCAAGAGAAAAGATTATTAAGGTATACTGCATGATACATCTCGGTGCAAGTGCAATTTTTTAATAAATTTGGACATACTGAAACATTGATTTTTACTGGCAATTTACTGGCACACGTGAACATTAATGTACGAAGAGAGATATTGTATAAAATCATTTGATTCCATGCTTGCCACAAATAGCTTCAGTCTGTAAGTTGTATAAGCGGAGGCATGTGATTCCCCTATCTTGTGTGTACACACGTTTTCGTACGAACATGATTATTTGCATCATATAATTAATTTTGCGAGACAATTTGCACGAGTAGGAATGTTCGTCGAGATGATACGACACGTTACATCATTCTACTAAGACAAACTTCTTTCTGGGCACATCGTTCTTCCCTGAGCACCTTCTCTTTTCGTTAAATAGTGGAAAGATGAGAACGCATAAGTGACTTTATCTTACACAGACTTACACGATCGAAGAGGATTTACGCGAGAGAGACTGTTTTGTCTAAGCACGAACATTTAGCGTTTTGTTTGGAGGAGATGCACATAACATTCCTTTGTGTTCTTTCTTACTCTTTCTGATACATGATATCCTCAGGATTTGATCGCACTTTTTTTTATCGATCCGCTACTCGTTATTCCAAGATATTAACACATGTGTACATTGCGATCTTTTCGTTTGATATATACCGTCATAATGTCATAACTCTCACGAAGTTCGATGAAGCCGGCATGTTACACCTCGGAAGACTGCATTTAGTAGCTCGAAATAGTCGAATTCGTTAGAGGGAGATCTTGATCCATGTGTTGAGCCTCATCCCGCCCACGAGCAACACTTATTTAATACCAATTAAAAGCACGATACGTGAATTTTTCAGCTGCCGGACGTGACGTTCGCGTTGCACAACATCACTGTGCTCATGGAGGGCAATATAGTGTCGGAGGTGAGCCAAGGTAGAGAGTCGTTCCTGAAGATCCAGAAGGACATTCAGCACGCCGTGAATCAGACGATCCCCGTAGTCAGCGCGAGTATCCGACGCGCTTGTAACTTCCTGGCGACCATCGCCGCTAACATGACTAGCCTCATCGACAGACTGAATATCGACATAGATAGAGTTTACATTCCGCATCTAGACATCGCCCGGAACAATATAGATCAGTATTCGCCCTATAGGTTCGTGACGAATGATGATGATGAACTTTCTTTAGGATGAACTTTTTTTCGACAGGCGGACTCGCACTAACGATCCTTGAACACGCATTCCTTTCTAGATACTATCTCGGCCTGGGTATATCCGGTATTCTTCTGACTGTCTTGATGTGTTTGACGTGCGGTCTCCTCTGTGGCATTTGCGGAAAGCGACCGGACGGATACGGGGACGATTGCTGTAACAAAGGGTCAGGTGCACGGTTTCTCATGATGTAGGTTGCGAAAGTTGCCCGGAAAACCAGCCAGTGTAAGATAAAGCGGATCGCTATCGTCGTTTTTATTGCCGCCGACGTTTAATCGCAGGGCCGTGTGGATCATCTTTCTCCTGACGAGCGTGTTGATGGTTATAACCGTGGTTCACATGGTGACCGGTGTCATGGCTCAGCGCGGTGTCTGCGAGCCCCTGAAGAATCCGAAGGACAACAGAATGTTCGAGCTGGTCGACGAGCTGGTGCAGATCAAGCGGGTACTTTACCCGAACAATCAGAAAGCGGATATTAATATGAGTTATATCGTTACGTGAGTACACACAAAAGCCTTAACTCGAAAATATCCCCCTCATTCTCTCTCGTAAACTCTTGAGCATAGTGAATTTTCAAGGAAGCCCACATGGAGAAGATATTTCTCTGGGATTAATCAAATTTCTCTAAATCCGAGACAAATTTGTCTCTTGGAATGAAGCGAACAAACAAATGTTTGATTCAACAAACAGGATTGTTTGATATCTCAAGCAACAAATATCTTTTTCTCTCTCATTCATCATATTAAATAACATATATCTTCTATATTTTCACCCAAACATTATAATAATGGTTGTCATAGACAATAAATTATTTAAAAGAAGTAACACTATGTTAGAAAAATATTAAAAATTCCTTTCTATTCAGTGGAACAATATCTAATATACAATGAAATACATTTTTTTATACAAAAGCAAATGTTTCCTCAAAATAATATTATCTTCTTTTTATCAAACAAAATGGTTTACTTTAGCGCAACAACATTTTCATTCAAACAAAATGACATTTGACGTGCAATTATATTGTTTATATTGAACACATCCAAAGCAAGCAAACACTCGTATTAAATCTAAAGAAATCTTTTTCTCCTGTGCTTTCTACGGAAGCGGTACGTTTCCGTAAACGGAAATAACTAATCTTATCACACATTCTCCAGATTTCTTGGAAATCCCTCGAGAAGTAGAGTAATTACTGAGTTCTTCGAATTCGAGTGACTTTTAACTCATGTAGATCGAATTCCCCGCTCTGAATCGTCGAGTGAGTATTTTCACTCGAAATTGAAGAATGAATCTGATGTATTAGGTTGGTGCGTATGAAATGTCGCATTCTCTTTACATGCGGACGTTTTCCTCCCTGTTTTCGTTATACTTTTGTATTTGGCATAACCTCATTCATACTCGTATTGTCCATTGCCAGAGACTCATTTCAACAAAATAGGTTTTCTCGAAGGTCTTCCCTTTTTTATTTCTTTTGAGTTTATTACCGATATGAATTCTGCCGACATTCGCGTCATTTTCTTATATGAGTACAAACTTGGTAATAGTGCTGCAAAAGCTGCACGCAACATAAACCAAGCGTTTGGGGAGAATACGGTTAACAATCGGAAAGTGCAGCGTTGGTTCGAAAAATTTCGGACTGGCGATTTTTCACTGCAAAATGAGCCGCGCGGAAGACCCAAAACGTCTGTGAATAATGATGACCTGAAGGCTCTAGTGGAAGCGGATCCAGCCGTATCCACGAGGGAACTTGCTATCAGGATGAAAGTTGACCATACAACGATATTGAGACACCAAATTGTACTCCCATCGCTTGTGAATCGGCATGGCCCGCTACTGCTCCATGACAACGCTCGGCCGCACACATCGCACAAAACAATTGCGAAACTGAACGAACTGGAATATGAAGTTTTGCAGCATCCACCATATTCACCGGATCTCTCGCCGACCGATTTTCATTTTTTCAAGCATTTAGAGCTGTTTTTAAGAGGCAAACACCATGAAAATGAAGACAGTCTAAAAAACTCGATATCAGAGTTTATTAATTCTAAAGACCAAAATTTTTTTAAGACAGGCATCTACGCTTTAAAATCTCGTTGGGAGAAGTGTATTGAAGCGAATGGAGCATACTTTGATTGAATAAACAGCTTTTGAAGAAAGATATACAGTTTTATACAATCACTTAAGAATCCGACATTTCATATGCACCAACCTAATACTTCACTGTCATATAAATATATTTATTCCAATTGACTCGCTCAGAATCTGCCGTAAGCTTGAGAACATTCAACCTCGCGACTTTGAGTGACGGTACTTTTACTGTCGTTCGGAGTTACTGCCATTTTTCATTTTGAGTAAAGAGTCCACGCCAAAAAACTTGGAGAATAATCAATAACGCACACTTATAGACAATTGGAAACAGCCCAAATATGACGTTGATATTGTAAGATAATATCAGAAAGTACGACAGTCTCACGTTGAATCGACGCGAATAAACGCGAGTGCGCTTGTCACCTGATCCCTCCTCCCGTTGCAGCAAGTGCCATGAAAACGAGACGCTTTATAACGTGCTGAATCTGAAGAATCTCTACAACGTGGAGGATCTGCGTAGTTACAACGGGCGTTACGACATCAACGACACGATCCAACAGCTGCGACGGAAGATCAGCCTCTCTCCGGGCGTGGTGATCTTAAAGGACAGCGCGAGGTCCAAGTTGAACGACCTCGCGCAGAGCGGTCTCAGCGACATCAAGTTCTACCAATACGCCGAGTTGCTCGCCGAGAACATCACGAACATCAATCTGGAGCACCTCGCCAAGCAATTGCGCGAAGTTTCCGCCAAGTTGCCGAGCGGCCAGGAGGACATCAGGGACAGTCTCGAGAAGAATGCCCACGACCTGGAGCATTACCACAGAGACCTAGTGATGCCGATGGCCACGCTTAGCGAGCAACTGAGCGCGAACGCACTGATGCTGCAGGAGAACATCAAGTTCAACCACAGCTCGATGGCGGAAGCCATTCACGATCTGGTGGACGAGGTCACCAAGGCGCAGCAGTTCCTCAACAAAGACGGCCCGGAATACGTTCAATACGTATGTGTTATCCTTCCTTCTTTCCTACAGACTCGAGAGAGAGAGAGAGAGAGAGATTACGGCCGGACATCATTAACCGATGCGATTGATTCTGTCGACAGCTCGCGACCAGGTTTGGCAACGCGTTCCTACTTCAGGTGGACAAATTCCTCGACCATGTGATCGAAAGGGCTAAGAACGAGATCGGCAGGTGCGCTCCCGTTTCGAATGCTTACAACGCGACTCTCGTGGCGGGCTGCAATAAAGTTCTGGACCCGTTCGTGAGTATCGTGTTCTACTTCGTATCGAAAGGCGAGAATATGCGCCGCCTTTAAATCCACACGTCGATTTCCGACGAGTTCGCTCGGAGAGTTATTAATTGCCTATCGCCACGTTGGACTTTCGTCCGTTATAGTTCTTCCCCTCTCTCTCTCTCTCTCTCTCTCTCTCTCTCTCTCTCTGTCTTTCTCGTTATAAATTCTCCGACCGCGTCGTGGAAGTTTCCCGGTCGACGAGCGAATTCGCGTCGGACGATAACCGAAGTATCGCGCGGCGCGTCGCAAAATTAAGCGGGACCCGCGAAGAATTAATATTCATGCTTCCATTTGCATTTATACAGAACGGCTTCTGGGCGAGCGTCGGCTGGTGCTTGATCCTATTCATACCGACCATAGTGCTCTGCGTGAAGCTGAGCGCCCTCTACCAGAAGTCGGATCCGTACCCGGGACCCCTCGTTGAAGCGTAAGTCTCCACTTGTTCCCCCCTCTACCCCCCGTAAATACGACAATCGCGATTCTATGACACCTGAGAGACGTGTTTTTTTCCATCGTGTTTCTTGACTCGATATATATGGTGCATGACGATATTTGAGGTACTAATGTGTCTCCAGTAGATCCATTGTCGAACGAATACGCGAATACACGAATTACTTATTCAGTTGCCGATCAATCCCCCTCCCACAGGTGAAACGAACGATCGATCGCCAATTTTTAAGAGAGGGCGATAAGATATAAGAGACCTAGCGACGATTCTCGTGTTAAACTCAGAAACGATTTTCTTCTATCACTCACTCACTGTCTCTCTATCTATCTATCTATCTATCTGTCTCTCTTTCTTTCCTTTCTCTCTGCGTAATCTCAACGTATACAACGAATCTCTGAGCACCCTTCATGTAGAAACTGTTGGAAGTCTTTTATTTTCCCGTCTCTCGTAGTCATTCTCGAGCTTCCATATACCATGGCATGTACTTATTCGCGCTTTGTAATATCTTTTTTGATAGTCGGCATGTCCTTGTTTCTTTTTTGTTTACAAAGAGGACCTTCGATCCGGGAAATTCGGTTGGAATTTCCCGGTTCGAATCAGTCCCCTGGCACCTCCGCCTCCAGGATCTCGTAAATCCACGTCACACCAAACACCTCGTCCGTTTGAGACGGAGAAATTCTGTGATGATCCTTGCGATGACCCTGTTTTCAGTTTTTCACTTTTCTACTTTGTGACGTGTGCTATTAACCAGCGATTTTAACATATAGTCAACGGGGAATTATTTTGTCGCTTCAATGATCCGTATTGCACGTGATGAAGAAGAAAAAAAAGAAAATATAAATAAACAAGTGAAGTTTTTCGCCTGGCCACCAATGGCAAAAGCAATGGAAAATTCAGTCACACCGATGGAATCGTTTTTTTCGTAACGTGCAAAATACAGTATTTTACTCTTGATTTCGAGAAGTAAAGCGTCGATTCTCGAGATACACATCCCGTTGACCGTGTGTCTTGTTCTCCCTTTGCTGTGCACAACGAGCCACGCGACAGGAGATCACGTGAAATCTCTTCTCTCTCACTTTGAACCCGATCGGTCGTGTGCCCGGCGCGCGCGGTAGCTTAGATTATGTTTAAAGTAGCCGTCTAATGTGTGGAATGGTTGTTGGAATCTAACCGCTAACACGCTCCGTTACAGTGAATATTTGTATGACGCGTACGCAGACAGGGATAACATACCCCTCGCCCAGTAAGTATACTACAACAAAACCACAATGTGCTCTCGCATGTGCTCTCCCACCTCCCCCCCCACCTTCCCGAGAGAGTGACACACGCATGTGTATATATATGTCTCGAATTGATTTATCACCGGACCTCTGAATGCCGTGTAACTTGCTCGAAAACAGCACAACGTTCTCTCTCGCTCCTCCCTCCTGTAGAAAGTTCGTTGCGCAGTGCTCCGATTTTCGGCGTTGGTCGAGACTGACGATTGGAGTGTCGTTTCTTTTACTTTTTCATTGTCCAATTAAAAGGATTGAAAGTGGTCGAATTTTTGATAATACGTTCGAAGTCAAGTTGAATTTGAAAATTTCATGTCGACACGAATCTCTTTGATTCAAATACGGCTCGAATTCGAATCAGATTTCCCAAGATTTACATATTAATCTGAATACGATAAAATACTTTAAGCGATGTTAACATCTGCCACCGACCACAAGGAAAATGCTGTGCTAAGCGCTAGAAAATTTAGAATAAATATCAGACAAAGTGTGCAATTCTTATAAACTGATAGATACATATACACATATGTAATCATATTAATCAAATAATATATATTTACTGTCTGAAAAATTATGAAATCAATTATTTTTAATTTCTCGTGTAAGCCGCGTATTTTTTTAGTAGCGGTTTCAAACTGTATACCTTAGTTACAAAGTATCCTGTATATTTTATAATCAGAATCACACTAAATTATTTAACAAAAAAACACTGCAAGAGAAAAGTCGGAAAAGGATCGCTGCGCGTTGCTAGGAAGACGGAAAGTAATCTCTGCACAATTGTTTCCCCTTGCCCGGACATATTGAGTGTATTTTTCCCCGGGACACCATGATTTTCGTCGACGACTGCATGCACCTCGCACCACGTTACTAATTTTAACTCGCTCTCTTTCTCTCTCTCTCTCTCTCTCTCTCTCTCTTTCTCTCTCTCTCTCTCTCTCTCTGCTGGCGTAGACACGCTTGTCGTAAGATACGTTGCGCGTTGGACTAAGTTGAGCATTTCGAGGTTCATTTCACACGCTTGTTCGATCTCCACACAGCGCATCACTAATTTGGCTTAATTAATATTTTCTGTTTAAGAGCTCCGCTAGGAAAGACACACACAGAGAAACACAAATGTACGTGCGGATAGACGACGGCTTTTTTAGACCAAGCGCTCTCGGCACCGGCTGTAGTCGTCTAGAAAGTGTTCCTCGTTCCTAAAGCTGCATGCATACCGAACTCGCATAATGATTAGACACACGGCGAGTGTCTCCTTCCCGGAGAGAGTCTCCAATTAATAGAGTAAATCCAAGCGAATGGAAGTGAGTCAGCGAACGGGTCTTTAATCTGGAATCCGATCCGGACGCTGCTTCGGCTCGATCAATCCCACTCCGACTTTATTCCGTCGCATTCAATCCGCCTCTTCCGCGCAAAACGACGACTTACGGTGACACTGCAATCTGCTGCCGGGCACCGATGCGCAATTCATCATTCTGCGGGTTCCCGTGCAGTTGCGGGGTTTTAATACACACGCTGCTCGGAAAAGTGTTTCCCAAATGATGTTTCCCGATACTCGGCGTAAATCCGTGGAGAGACGCAATTAGCGCGATTCGCCGAGTATCTTGTCGAGGAAGGCGAAGGAGACGCTCGTCGATGCAAAAGTACGGCGCGCAGCCAGACGCGTCTCCTTCGCTCTCTCTTTTCTTTTTTTCCAAAAACCTTATCAATTCCAAGGGAACAACATACTGGGAAACACCGATTCCGAGGATAACCGACACACCGCAGCTTTTAGATTACGACACACGCACATGAACACACATATACACATACGCACACACATTTGGTCTCTCTAACTCGCATGACGAGTGCTCGCGTCGTCCGCGACACACACGGGTGTCGCACTGTGACCCTTCTAAGAGAATCTCGCGTTTTGCTTGCAGCGTCCATGACAAGAAGCACGTGTCCCACAGCAGGCATCATCCGACGGCGTACGTTGAGAGTTACGACGGTCCCGCAGGATATAGTGAACGCGAGAGGATTTCCGACGCTCACCAGAGTACGTCACATCATGACTCAAGATACTCCAACCTGGCGCCTAAGTGAGTAGAGGAGTGTCCTTTCCCGTCCTCCACTTCTCATCGTCCGTTGTTTCTCGTTGTCCTCTTCTACCTTCACGGACGTCGAGTCACACGCAAACCTAGGAGATCAGTTTCCTTCATTCGACGCTCAACGGCTCGTGCTGTGTCGCACGTGTTACGTATATGCATATCGATCAACAAGACACGATAGAACAGTCGGCGGCGCGCTGAGACGTTGTAGCGTTTGAAACGTGACGCATTGCGGCGACGTTACATATGCGTAACGACGCGCAATTCTCCCTCCCCCCCTCTCTCTCTCTCTCTCTCTCTCTCTCTCTCTCTCTCTCTCTCTCGCTCGCGCACCGGTTTCATCGGTCACGTCTTATTTCTTTACAGTTTCACCCTATCGTGGCGAAACCACGAACATACCGCCCCTTCCAAAACAGAACCTCACAATAAAGTCTTTAGCGTATCACTAGAGTCGCAGTAAGTTTGTAAACGGAGCAAGCGATCAGCATAAATTCAGCTTTCTGTGAAACGTAACGCTTCCACTTTGTTTGAGTATACATACATATATATATATATATATATATACCGAGCCTCTCTGGCGGTCAATATGACACCTCTCTTCTTCTCTCGTAATCTCTTCTCGCCCGATACGAGCAGGGTTCCCACTCATCGAATGTGATCTTGCGTTCTTTCCGCGAGCTGAGGAGCGATCGAGCGCGTCCGTGCGAGAAGCGGGGGTGGCCGGAGGATCACGGGACGCGCGACGTCCTCTGAGCTCCTCCGCCGATCGACCGCGCGCCGATCGTACCTCCGGTTCTGAGATTCAGGCGAGACGTTCCGAGATCTGACCGTTGAATATAGTATCATGTCGCATGTCCAGTACGCAGAGTGAGCCCCGATGGTCATGGATTTTTCTCCCGGTTCTTTCCAGGTGAGTGGGAACCCTGCGGGGGGCTCAACCTCTCGCGTCTCTCGATACGCCTCTGCACGTAAGTCGCAAGACTATTGTTTACACCGAGTGTTTACACCGCCGTTTCTCCTTCTCCTTGCGTGTTACGTTACTCGAGCTGTGTTCCTTGATTGGCCATGTCGCGCGAGAGCTTTGTGCAAGAGAAACTAGGCTTGGCCGCGCGCGCAGGGTAATAGAAAATTGAAAAGAACAAAAAAGGGAACAGTGAGAAAAGGAAAAAAAAAGAAAACGCGAAGAACACGCGAGGCCAAGGGGTCCGAGCGAGTTCAGCTTCCTCCGTCGGTGGAGACGCTTGTCGTTAAACCCGAGATACCTCAGCGAGAGGGGACACAGTCGGTCGGTGCCGATGAAAGCCTCCATGTCGGGCGATGCTCACGCGCGATGTTGATTTCGCTTGGAAGACACCTCACGACTTTCCGCCGCGGAGAAGCATGTCCCGCATTCCGGCGTGTCGCCCGACAGCGTATATATATTTTGCGACCGCCGAACGCGCCCGTGTTTCTCCAACCGATCTTACTTTCATTTCGCTTGGGCGGCTGCTGTATCATATGTTAGTTCGCTAAGGCATTTTACTGTGGCAAAGGACCGTAATAGATGATGAGCGCTTAGCTCTTTCGCTACCGTAAGAGATGTTTGTAGCCTCTCGGGGGCTTACCGAATCGCAGGCAGCGAAAGGGTTAAGCGAATCGGTACAGCACACTAGGAAGTTGTTTGAGTGCTATGAACCTTGACCGGAGACGAGTATCGCGCAGATACCGGGTATGCGTAATCCTGTCGAGCTCTCACGAACGCTGTCATTGCAGAAACTGGGACTTCCCCAACGGTGGACCGCCAAGGTATCAACCAGCCGCCGGGGCCCCGCCTCCGTTAAGCACCGAATATGAACGACCGCCGCCCTATTACTATCCTGGACCGGGGTAAATATTCTCTTTCGCCTTTCATCTCATCGACACTGAATATTAAAAGCTTGTGTCGTTCGCCGAAGCATTGAAAAGACGTTGCTTTTGAAAAGCTCTTGCTGTTTTCTCCGAGTAGTTTTATTAAATTGTTTTTTTTTTTTTTGTGAATTATCGATTTCTGTGTTCATTTCTATTGGATAAATTTTTCCCTTACTCTCATAGTTTCGAAAATATTCAAGGTGGTGACAGTTATCGCCACTCATCCTACATATAACATATAATTTGCATGATCAGTAATTATATTAAGGATGACTTTCACCGAATTCGGATCAATCGACGATTTAAAATCACTGCCGGTCTCAACTGTTACTTGCTCCATTTCGCTGACACAGATGAAATGATCAACTCGTTGAGTATCGTTGAACGACAAGCTTTAGAGCTGGAAATTGCTGTTGGCAATTCTTATTATTCATCGGTTAGTTTAATCTGGGTATAATGAAAGAATTCACCTTAATAAGTCTCAGTATAAATAGCTGAGGCTAACGATTACGGAGGCGCAGACGACCGGTAATCGTGAATCCTGCTTTCAGGGATAGAAATTAGGAAACAAGTGCCGTGGCATGCACGAAAGCAGCGCTGAACAGTGTGGCGACGCACAGCCTCACGCGCAGTTACAAGCGAACGCTCAAGAAGAGAGAGAAGTCCGGATGCAAGAGAGACTACGTGTAAATCCCTCGCGTTGTTCCTGAGCGTGCCACGGATTGTGCGAACACCAAAAGTAACTAAAGACCATGTTTGATACAGACTGATGATAGGCTAATGATCTTCTTCGCGACGTGTTTCCTTTCCGTTTACCTTCCGCGAGCGGAGCCTGAGTAGTGCGCTCCCTTGCTTTTCTCGGCGTTCCTCGAGAGAATTTCAAATACTCTCTTTCTGTGTCTCTCGTCCTCCGCGAGAGACACGCCTCGTTCTTCTAAGTGAGACGCGGAGCAATCGGGGAACGCCGCTCTCCGTGTTCGTTTTCTCCAGTTTCTCTTCTTTCGTTCTCGGAATCGTGTGTGTAAAAGTGTTCAATTTCTTCGGCTCACTCGGTAGCTATTTTTACCCCGTCGAGCGATGCCCAGGCACGGCGTCGCTCGTCTTTTCTTCGCATAAATCGGCCGAACTCATTTCGAATAATTTCGACCGTACTTCACGAGATAATAAAAATATTGGCACGGACAGAACGATTGATCGAGTGCGAGAGAAGTGGTCGAAGGAGAACAAGAGCCGATCGAGAGAGAGAAAGAAAAGAATTTCTTTCGCTACACGCGAAGACACGCGAAGACTGTGCGGCTACCGTGAGAGTCTCGCCGCTCTCACGTATACTCGCATATCCACCGATCGAGTTACGTAAATGCACAAAATACTACAACGCTGCCAATTCAGTGCGTCGCATTTTAACCCGCGAAGAGAAAGGCCCGCCGTTGTAGCCGGACGTCGAGTGCACACCTCGTGGACAACGATTCGTCCCCGAGCTAGATGTAGCGGAGCAAATCCAAAAGATACCTATCCTCTTCTAACCAGAAGAATGTTCATATAAAGTCCATTCTACAATGTCAGTAAGGTTGTGGCTGTAAGTTTGTAAGGCGGTCCCCAATCTGCAATACTAGTTTGATATCGGCTCCACTGTGTTTATTCTACGTTTTGTCCTACCGCACAGAACAGGATAAGTGTCTTTCAATCTGGATCTATAATAGGTGCAATAAGCCTTTAGCTTTTTGTTCTAAGCCATAAAATGTAATTTCGTAATGTAATTTCTGACAAAAGGCGCGCTGCCGAAAGTCGTAACAACGTTTGAGCCTCGAGTTGGATCTACAATGGGGTCGTACAGTCGTACTCGTTCCGCTTCCAATTTCAACGACTACGACCAATTCAATCGCCCGGAAGTGGGCCGACTCGCACGACTGCGATTTTACGACCTTACGATTGCCGACCTCATTATAGACCCAACTTTAGGAATGGCAACGTTCGGTGGCTGTAAAAACGTTTTCCGCTAGAATTTACGCGACAATTTAGCGCTTAGAACTCAAGGCTCACTATATCCACCGTTGCAAATCCAGCCAGAAATCCATGTTCTGAACTCACTTTAATCGATGAAAGCGCCTTAAATGTGGTTTCTCAGCCAATCGGGTGATTCCTAAACCACTTTTAGAGGCACCGGTAAGGGACCTTCGTCTCGCCTTGCTAAATCTAACTCAGGACGAATCGTCGTCCACGGGCGTACAGCGCGGACCGCGTTCGGCCGGTCCACCAGTTTCCGAGCACTGAACCAACGCCATATGAAAATGCCAAACGAGAAACAAACACATACACACACGCGTGTGGCACGCACCACTCGCGGCAGCACACGCATGAGCGTCGTCGCGGCTCATCATACACTTCGGATCTCGCTCGTCTCTTTAACCGAGGAAGAAAAAAATAACCGTTATAGAAGAAACGAACTGACAATTCTTGTCCGCGCGGAGCAGCCGCGCCCGGCGATACCCACCGCGCGGCTTCTCGACTCGCGGCGGAGGGAGAATTTCCGAGGGCGACCACCGCCGCTATTATAAATACTCTGTGTACATGGATTTTTAAGTAGCCGTTTTCTTACTACTATCTTACTGTGTAAAACTTATCGATGTAAGCCGACGATTTCGATTCCTACACCGCGTAGACAGTGCGCCGTCCGCCGTGCGTATTTGGTCGGTCACAACCAGGACCGAATGAAAATATCCGGTTTCGGTCAACTAAAATATTTCATAAAGGTTACGGTTTTTCGGTTCCGGTTTTCTGGACAATGAAAGCGCCGATACCGTTTAAATTATGTTTTTTTTTTTTTTCGATTCCTGTTCTTTAAACTGGCTTCATTACTGAGATTTTTATTGAATTAAATTTTATATATATATAACACGTACAATAATATATTAAATGCTGTAATTGATTTTTCGTGACTGACCATATGTTCGCATGTATAAACGGATCTACGCGCTGTACGAATCTCTCGATGTGTGTATTATCGCAGCGTCATTGTCCGTCTCGGGTGCGGTAACCTCCCGATACACACACAAACACACACATACACGTACGAGCAGTCCACGTTCGTGCACGTTCATTTTATTTGTATTAACACGGTGAATCTGAGAGTCTATACGGGGTATACACACCGAATCGTTCGTAAAATGCTGCCTTCGCGGACCAGCCGATTCACATCGACGAGAGAGAAAGAGAGAGAGCGTCGCGTCGAACGTCCCGGTTGACTGTATTGTACCTGTATATACTCGCGTAGATCCCACCGAATCGACTGTTTTTCTCTGAGAGAAATTCCTTAGGTATCGATGAAATTTTAAGAAGAGGAGAAAAATCAATCGCAAACACAACACGGATCATTTACTTCCGCAACAATGTGCGTGTCACTACCGAGGAGAGAAATCCACTCGCTCGTTTAAAAAGTTCAACCGTTAACCCACGTTCTCAGCATTGTTGCCAAAAAAAAAGAAAAAAAGAAATAAGAAGAAGAAGAACATGCGAATTCTTTGCAAAATTCTCGCTGTAACTCGGACGCGAAAAGGATACTACGAAGGATATTGCGGAGATGACGATGAGTAGTAAGAACGGACCGACACTGAGACGCTCTGGCACTTGCCCTCGCGCGTGTACAGAAGTCCTTGAGAGAGAGAGAGAGAGAGAGAGAGAGAGAGAGAACGGACACGAAGGATACGAAAGCGAAACTCCGTGTGTTGTTCGACAAAATTTCCTGTTCAATGTCTCGTTAATAGGAAATGCAGATCTCGTGATGGAAGTCGTCTCGGAACTTCCATTCGAATTCTATCGCGTGTTCCGCTTTGGTACACACTTCGTAGACGTGTCTTGTATCACGGCGAAGAACGGTCGTGTTGGAGCGACCGCCCGTTCGCCGCAGTTGGCAATCGGAATTGCCAAAAAGTCATTTCTACCTGCTTCATACGTAACGTAACACGGTGAAAACCGGGTAGAACCGGGCGGAACGCGTGAGCGTGGAGTGCGAAAGACGAATAAGTGTATGAATGCGCGCGCGTCTGCCTCAGAGAGAATGAATAAAAGAGAGAGAGAGTAAGAGAGTGAGAAAGAGAAAAAGTGAGTGTATGTGTAAGAGAGAGAGAAATGTCGCAATTTATAGCGAAGTAAATTTTGCAAAAGTCCCCGCTGTATCATTACCGTATTTACACTAGTAGCGTAGTCTTAACTGAATCTACATCTTAGTCCTATCGACATTCGACACAACGTATGTACGCGTCATGCGACTCGGAGGAACAAACTGATACGTTTTTCTTTCTTTCCCCTTTTTCTTTTTTTTTTTATTTTAACCTGGTTAACGGTATGTAATAATCGAATGGTGGACCTGCGGGAGCTCTCGTCTCGTATCTAGAAGGCGTGTTTCGGAGAACGAGTATCGTTTGCCAGACAGCGAAAAGAGACGTTCTAAAGAATTGATGACATCTTTTGGACGTCTTTACGACTTCCTTCGGAACTGTATGTTCACTGGGTGATCGATAAGCGCGCACGTGGAGCATCCGTAGCAGGTCGTGCGCTACGAGAAATTCCGCCGGCAAAATCACTGACAGACGGAGGCAGGAAAGACGAAAGAAAAACTCTCCGGTGCTATTTTTATAACACGTAACGACGACGGTGCGTAGCGACGACTCGCGTGCGCTTATCCGCGACACACGCCGGCTGGACGGAGAGCTGCCGCGGTCCGAGAGAAGCGCTCCTCGGCCGAAGGAGAGGCGCGAGGTGAAGCTTCGGAGAATCGAACTGAACGGGAGGACGTCGACGAGAGAGAGCCGCTCGCATTTGTAATACACTATTTTCTCTCGCCCGCGTTCCGTGTTTATTAATAAGCGCTACGTCACTCGACTTGACAAATTTCACCCCGCGATCATTCTGTCGCCCCTGAGGGCGCTCATTCGACGATAATTATTTCCGACGATTATTTCCTAACGATATTTATTTCCGACTAAGCGCTAACACGTGTTCATAATTGACGAGTAATAATGATTAATGACTTCGTTAGATCTGCCTTTCCAGTTCGATTCTCTGTTGGAATTCGGCGAGGAGGAAATTGTACTTTCACTTATCACTACATTGTTATATTGGTTGGTTGAACGTTCTTTTTAGTGTTTACTCTTGCCTGCTCAATTTCCCGGGACGCCGATGCTCAAGATGAGCGATGTCCTTCTCCCCTTTCCCACCTCTTCCCGTCTCCCTTCTGTTTTGTTCTTTTCACGCTGAATCTAACAGCCATTCCATCGGGAATATTTGTGATAAACCGTTGTAAAGCGCAGGTTATCTTGTAACGCGCGCGCGTTAAGAATCATCGTAAAGATATCCGAAAATAATAATCCGCGTCTTGAGGATCGATCGTGGACGCAATTGTAAGGATAGCACGCCATTGGGATATAATGGCGGTTTTTGCAATTCACCGATTGTGTTTGTTAAAATTAATTAATTAATTATTATTATTACTCTATTACAATATTATTGATATTATATTATTATAAAAAAATGAGTGTACCACAGTTTAAATATATATCTATTTTATATTAAATCGATAAAAATATGAGGCGTTATTAATTCGTATTATGGATTCTCGACCTTTCGTCGAATCACCTCTGTAAGACGCGTCGAGAATTCGCTGTTGTTCAATGTGAAAACAAAGAGCTTATAACTCCTCATTACCCAATCGTTCAACTATCACGACTGTTACATACTCGCGTGCATGCATTATGTACAATATTATATATTGTAGATATTTCAGCAAAATAATTGCAGCAAGGCGGAATCCACGAATGGAATCGGCAATGATGATACTCGACCGATATTCACACATTATACATTCACTCGGTTATCCTTCCCCCATTTCCGCATCACGCGTATTATCTGCTCCACTTGGGAATTCGAGGTGTTCTTCAGAAGTTGTATCACGTCTGACAGTAGTTCTCTGCGCGAATAATACGAAGAATTCGTAAATCTTCCGTTTTTTTCACTACTTTATGAGCGCGTATATTATTTAATGTTATAAGAATATAATTTTAATATTTAATAATATTCATATAATATTCAGGCATTATAGGGTAATATCGAGTTCATATTCATCGTGATAATCTACATACTTTGGCTGCTTTTCTGCTATTATGTACTGAAAAGTGCCACAGCTGGCACCTCGTTTCCCCTCCCAGTGTTCGGGACTCGGATCCATACGCTCCAGCATATCGAAGGCTTTGGCGGCGTACCAGAACTCGCCGACCTTGTAACAGGCGTTGGCGATCAGCTGGAGTAGGTTGAAAGATTCCGTCGATGTGTCCATCTTTAGATACAATTCCCAGGCTAGCTCGGCCTTCTTATTCATTATGTCTGGGCGAGAACGGTAAGGACAAGTAATTATTAACCCTCGAAGGTTCCATTAAATAGAATATTAAGTTTTGAATTCATTTCCTGAGCAGTTCTTTAATATATCATTTGTACAAGTCCGGATCTGCAACAAGTGTCGGCTCACAGAGGTACTTTAAGCCTTAAGAAATTGACCAATCACAGTTAATTATTCTCTCCGCGGAGATCTTCCAAAGTACAACGACGAGATGTACTCACAGCAGTAGGACAGCAGACTTATGTAGATGTAATCGTTCTTGTACTTTTCGTTACGTATCATCAGGAAGGCCTCCTCGGCCTCCTTGAAGTAGCCAGCCGCGGTTTGCGCTTGGGCGTAGTTAAAGTTGAAGTTGTCTTGGTTGGAGAAGTACGTCTTGATCGAGCTAAGGTACACCAAAACCTCCTCGAATTGCCGGTAGAGGAAGAAGCAGGAAGCCATGCACTGTCTACCGGGTATGGTGTCGCACTCCGATGCCGAGGAGCCCACCAGTTGGAAATATTGTTGCGCTATTTTCATACTGTCGCGCTGGAAACATGATAAATAAATCTTCATCGTGAATGACGCACGAGACTGGATCTCCCGAAGATACGTACAGAATTGGTCTCTTGACCCATGACGGCGTTCACGATGCCCTTCAAGATGTATTCCTGCGGCACCGCGGGTTCCAGGTCCTTGATCAGGTCGTAGGCCGCCTTTACGTCGTCTTGCTTCAAGTAGTATATCACGAGATTGAGCCTGGCTTCCGGTATGACGTCCACCAGGTTCGGCAGAATCTGCAGGGCGTTCTCGCCACCTTTGAACACCTGTAAAAGGCGGGACTGAACGGAGTCCGACGAGACTGAAACGGAGAATTCGGTGTACGCACGACCGTGTTGTGGCGTATGAGATCGTGGCCGAAGCTGAAGGAACTCGATATCTTCTCGATGAGCTGCTTCATCTCGGACTGAGCGGCGTTCCCGTCGTACAGCCGGAAATGATTGCACGCCTTCAGATTGATCGCGATCGCGCTGTCCGGATACTTCTGCAAATAAACCTGAAGCACCTCCTGAGCCACGTCGTAGTAATCCAGCTTGTAGTAGCACAGAGCCACGTATACGTTCAGCGCTAGATAATCCCTGCAAAGGCAGACACTTGTGAGGCTGAAGTTGTGTACTTTCAATCGAACCGCACGATCTTTGTAACGGCTAATTCACGTTAACGGGAACATCATCGTCGTGAGGATAGGAGGTGAGGGGGGAGGGACAGGTACCTGCGATTTTTCAGCCGGGTGAGGAAATACACGTCGGAGTCGTCGCTCTTGAAGCGGCGTTTCCTCGACTTTTTCTTCCTGAACTTGCTGCGGGAGTTGCGAGAGGATTGTGCGAAATATAAGGATGTGTCAACGGAGAATCTTGGGAATTATTGCTCATCAATGAGACGAAAATCTCTTTACCTGTTGTCCAGCAAGATCCTCTTGTATACGTCGATGGCGTCCTGGTAATGAGCTCTGAGGTAGTGAATAGACGCTAGGCTGAGCTGATCCTCTATGACATCCTGCAGCATTTGATGGTACTCCACCAGCTTGGGCTCGTTGCCCATCTTGTGGGCCAAGTGGAACAATAATCTGGTCCTCAGCTTGCTATCTGCCGCATCCTCCAGGATCTTCTGCGACTCGGGATACATGCCGAGGAAAAAGTAGCAACATGCCAGGTTCGTCGGCACATCCGGCGGCACGTACTCCTTCTTCCTCAGGTTCTCGTAGACGGTAACCGCGCGTTTGTAATCGCCCAGGTGAAACGCGCAGTATCCCATCCACAGGTCCGACTCGAGGCTGCTGCCGGCGCTGCTGCTGTTGAATTCCAGCAACGTCAAGGCTCCGGTGTAGTCGCGTTTCTCCAGGAATTCCTCTAGCTTCGGTATTTCCTTGCGCAACGCCGACTTCCGGACACCTTCCGACGAGGCCGGCTTCGCTCTCGACAGGATCTGTCAGCGGAGGTACGTCAATATTTGATAACTGAATTTTATTTATTTTTTTGGTCAGCTTGGACATTATCTTACATTTAGGTTGCATAATACAAGTAGAAAAATAATCTATGACGATGTCTCACCATTTTATTGTGTGCACGCGCGTGGCTTTATCGATCATCTCGCCAGGCGCGTTGTCATGCAACAATCGGGACATAACAAACGGCAAGCGCTGCGATCGCTCGCCCGTGAAGAATACACAGCGATATTAACAAGTTTCTGTTCCTCTTAAATCATTCGAAATCGATTTTTCAATGACACGCGCCACGAAGATTAAGTATCTTTCGCGAACGAATCGCTTCACCAACATCGCTTTATTACCGAAGAATACAAGAAACTTAGCTTAATTTTACGACTGTATGTTAGAAAATAAATTAAGAATTGTATTGAAACCAAAATTCTGCGTTAACTCTTGGCAGCTTTGGCAAAATGTACGACCATAGGCTTGTCTTTCAATATGTATCCGTTGGTTTCGTTGAGAGCCATTTGAGCTTGCACGTTATTCTGCAACGTGACGAAGGCTTGCCCCTTCATCCTGCCCTCTTGCATAAGTCGTAAGTCATACCTGAAATGGGGAAAGTGACAACACATTATGTGATACAGGAAAGAAAACAATATTGTAATATCAGACACTGCGGTATTAAAGACACGCATGTCGGGTCGTCAGAAACACTCACTCGTTCTCAGCGTCTTTCAGCCCCGCGATAACGTATCTCTGATAAATGTAATGTAGATCCTTCGCTTCCACTTGCTTCGCAAGATTCTTTATGTACAGACGGTTGGAAGGTTTGCCCGGATGATAGTTCTTGAACACAGGAAGCACTCTCTGATCGTTGGCGGAAATCCGGTTGGCCTCCAGCTCCTCGCTGCTTATAAATTTGTTCCTCGACCTTTCCGCACCTTCTTCGCCGTCCTTCGCGTCCTCGGTGGGTTTAGCAGCCGGGAATATCAAACCGAATCCACCGTCTACCGTTACGGTACTGTCTTGAGCAGCGGATGCCGCGTCCAATGACTTATCCAGGGTCTTCAGTTCGATCTTGAGATTCTTAGCCTCCCCGAGTTGAACGGGCTCGAACATGTCCTCCGGCTTGAGCGCTTTTTGCGTGGACGCGACTGTCGCGATGTTCCTGGCAGGATTAACAAACTTGGGGATCTTCAAACGTCGCGCGGGCTGCGGCAGTTTCCTCTTAACCGGGATGATCTCCACAGGCCTGGCGTTATCCTCCCCGTCTGACTCTATCTCCGACTCCTCTTCTTCTTCTTCTTCCTGCACGCGTTCATACGATGCATCTAGTTGAGAGAAAATCGCTATTGTATATCATCTTTTTTTGCTAATCTTCATTTTCCTTTAATTATCCCAAGTTATGCACAATTCGCTAATTGTATTCGATAGTATTTCTGAAAACTAGGGACTTCGATCTTTGAAATGCTTTTCGAACCGTTAACGTATATAGAATTAACTTTTGACCGATATTTCCCAACTTTACCGATAATTTCACCTCCAAGGATGTTCTTGTACTTCTCCATGTTGTAAACTTCCCTCAGCACGGGAAACTCTTCTTCCAATTCTTCGAAAGGAGGCGGCAGGTTCATTTTATTCATCAAATGCAACACCTAGAAATACATGTGACAACATGTAACGCCATCGTTATTGCTTTACATTCACATTCTTCATTAGAATGACATCCGATGGAACAAGGATAACCTCACACCTGTGTATAAAAGGCTGGTTCCTTCGACAGTTGTACGGCTATCCTCAAGAGTGTGTTCTTCGTAGGTGCCGCGTACTTGTATCTTATGTTCGGCGGAGGTGGTTGACTGAACACATGATTCACAGTCCAACTGTTCAACTTCCTGCGAAAGGCCTGAAGGTCGGTGACTTTCGCTTTAACGTCGTTGTCTGCCGATGGCTCATGCTGAGGCTCCAGCTGAGAGAGCTCAGCCGGGCTCGACTTCTTGGCGTACTCGACCGACAGGTACTGCCCTTTGACATTTAACTGATGTAAACGCAGCAACGCCTCCGTCGCCAATTGCTGAGACGCGAACTTGGCGAAGGTGACGGTGTACTTGCCGGAGGATCGCAGCGTTCTGGTTTTTATCGCGCCGTATCTCTGCAGTAACGAGTTGCGCCGATCGTCGGACAACTGCGGGGGCAGGTGGAGGATCCTCAGAGTGTCGCATGCCTGAAAGAAAAAAAATGCGAACGATCAAATCTTCCTATTGTACGAATTTGCACAACACGCGAAGGGAACCAAACACGTCGATTTGGATAGAATGATTCAAGTTAAAATGACTCCCGGGGGTTGCATTACGAAACGTCAACATTACTGGAATCATCCCCGACGACATTCTTCCACCACTGCCACCGACCAACGCGGACGCAAATCCTCGGTCACTCTGACACATGGCTTGACTCCGTCCTGGCACAGGTTGAACCATGCGCCACTTTTTAGACGTTGAACTAGATGGAGCGAGTGTTTTAAACGTGAATTCCATTGGTTCGGAGAAATTTGTCCAGAAGAGTAAAGGCACTTGTTGACTCGGCGAAAGCTATAGCTTCACGATCCGGAGGAAATCCCATATTGCGCAATTCTAGAATGAGACGCTCCGAGGCCTCGGAGTGACGTGTGATAAAAGAAAATACGCTCCAGGGTGTGAAGAGACGTGTAATGGTCGCAATAGGGATCCGCGACAATGCCCTTGTCGGGAAAATGTTCCTTGCGTTTGGCATGATACTGAGTCGGTTGATCAGAGTGATGGTGGATCTGAGTATTGATCCGAGGTTCCAATGGTTCCACCATGGTCTCTCCAATTTGCGTTTGAAATACCCGGTATCCCTTGTAATTCCCTTACGTAGTGATTCCGACAAGGCATCTCGATATGTTAGAAAAATCGTTCGAAAGGCGTTAGTAGCAAAGCATTCGTCGTCCACATGAGAGTCCTCGGGCGAAGCGGCGAGTTCAGCGAGGTGGTCGGCAATGTCATTCTGACACAATTCGAACAGGACGTAAACAAACGGAAGTGGCGAGTATCTAGACGCGTCGCGCGAGAAGCCCGAAGGGAGAGATTCGGCCGGCGAGAGCCCCGACCAATCACCGGCCAGGAATGGCGTCGAACAATTTCGAACGAAGTGCCGAGTCTAGATCTACTTTCAGGTCATATACGGCACGCACAAGCGGTTTGAATCGGTATGGTTTGTATTTCGCGACGGTTTTGACATGCATCGGTCGCACGAGTGATATCACGAAATTTCCGACGTAAACGAACGATCGCACGGATGGATCGGACGGCGGCCGTGTGATCTCGACGGGGGCCGTGAGAAAAAAATTCGTCGGTGCTTTAACGTAAAATGAAATGCGCGTTATCATCAATCTAGACGCGTAATTTACCCCGATCCGCATTTATTCGGCTGTCCGCCGGTCACTGAACGGTCGCACGGCACTCTCTCTTCACCGAGAGAAAGAGAGAGAGAGAGAGAGAGAGAGAGAAAGAAAGAAAGAGGGAGAAAGCTCGCATTTCCCACTTCGAAATCACCGAATCGTCTTTATCTTCCGCCGCTCGATTGCGACGAAGTTTGGGGGACAAAGTCATGTCGGACAAGCCGGCCGAGACCACAGAGGATGACAATTCCGTCACGATGCTCGATGTCCTCCAAGTGGAGAATCAGCTCGAGGAGGACGCGTACGCTGTTCTAGGCGCTTCCGACGACCAGAACTGTACTTACAACAAGGTTGTATGTTGATTTATACGTTCCCCCTCCCCTTCCTCCCCCACTGTAACGTTTGTCACTTGGTTTTCACTGAGATGCTATTTCACGACTGGTTCCACCGCAGCAGGTGTCAGTAGCTTTTGTTGAGACGTTTTGAGATTCGCAGGGATATATGAGACAGGCTCTGTACGCGTGCAAAACCTGTTCCAACAAGACCCGAGCCGCGGTTTGCCTGGCGTGCAGCTTCCACTGCCACGAAGGACACGAACTTGTGGAGTTGTACACAAAACGACACTTCAGGTGTGACTGTGGCAATTCAAAGTTCGAGGGCAAGCAGTGTAATTTAGAGAAGGTATCTTTGAGATTTCCTGCTATAAAGCTTCATGTGTTCTGTATAGAATTATACGGTCCTGTTAATAATTTAATTGTTTCTTTCGCAGCAAAAATCTGCTACCAACAATGAGAACAAGTACAATCAGAATTTTGATGGAGTCTACTGCACCTGCGCCCGACCATATCCTGATCCTGAGGGCGACGATGACGAAATGTTGCAATGTATAATATGTGAAGATTGGTATCACTCGAAGGTAAATCGTTACTTCCGTAAAGTTACTTTGGTAATCAGTAAAGTCACTCATGAGTTAAATGAAATGCTTCACGATCAAATTTCACTGTAATTCGTGTGATTTCACTGTTTAATACAATTTTCATGTAACTACGATTATTTCTTCTCAGCATCTGGAGGTTGATTACGTGCCGGCCGACGACACGTACGACGAAGTAATTTGCGCACGTTGCATGAAAGAGCATAATTTCCTGTGGAGATATGCAGCCAAGTATGCAGGTAAGATCCTTGGATCTCTGCACACTGCACTGTGCCTCGTTTATTAACTCTCGTTAGTAACTTTAACGTGATCAGTTATAGGCAAGGCAGACGCGACATCCGACAACAAAAGCGAAGAGGTGAACGTGTGCGAGCTGCCGAAAGATTGTCAGATGCCGAAATGCAACCCTGTTAACACCAAGGGAAGCTGCTTTTGGAAGGAGGGCTGGAGAACTTCATTGTGCACTTGCGACGAATGCAAATCTGTAGTGTATCGATTATATATAAATTCAAGCAATTGATTTCTTTACCAATAAATTGAGATCTCTTGGTAGAACTTGTGTATATGACGTATTGTATTTTATTTTTATTCTTACAGATATATAATGCAAAAGATGTTGCATTTTTAATCGATTTGAAGGACAGTGTGCAAGCATATGAGGAAGCAGGCAAAGTGAACAAGAAAGAATCTCAATACGAGAAAGGTATGAAGGCCTTGGCGAGCTTGGAGCATGTACAGCAATTGACGGCAATCGAAGGTAAGGTCATCAAGTTAAAACTATTTTCCAACACATACATGTGTGCGTGATTACTTTGGAAAACTTAATTTTACTTAATTTAAAATCCATAAAACTGAATTTTATAGATGATAAATACATTTTTATTATCGTAATCATTATCATTAGTATCATGTCTCACCAATGTGGAATTATTTGCAAACACTTAGAATACAACAATATGAAGGAGCGACTTATGCAATATTTACAAAAGTTTGCTGAAAACAAGAAGGTCGTGCGTGAAGAAGACATCAAGGAGTTCTTCTCAGGAATGGAATCGAGAAAGCGTCCCAGGGTAGTAGTGCCAACGTATTGTCGTTGAAGCTTGTATTTTAATATAACATTAATCTCCCACATTGCTACGTAAAAATTATACAAATAAAGATAAGCACTTTATTATGTTTTTATGGCAAGCTATCATGTATCTCGGTTTTTGAAAAATTCTCTGTTTAATCCATACGTCATTGCATCACGCTTACAGTATTTTAACAATTTCATAATACGTAATTAAACAGATAGAATTAAAAGAGAAAAATATAATGAGAATGTAAATTTGAAACTATAATACATGTCAAAAAAAACTTATGAATAAAGAGATCCACAATTTCTTTTGCAATTTTTATGTATGTAATGTTGATTTTTATACTTTGTGTGTGTGTGTGTGTGTTGTGTGTAATTATAAATATATTTTATTAGTCGATATATAATTACATATATTTTTTTCAATAAATTTCAATACTAAGGTCGGTATTTTGTATTTGATAAATTGGACAAGCTGTAACTTCTGTAAAAATAATAATAATGAGGTTTGAAAAAGTCGACGTGGTCGAAATAACGGGTCAACTATTCCTCATTTACCGTAATTTATCGAGCTCAAGATTTCTTTAGACCCGTTATTCATGTTCCGCGTAAAATTTAGTTCCAAAGCCTCCGCTACGAGGCGCCACCACAAGTTACTCAGAAATTGAGGCGTAGTACGACTCAACAGTGGGGTCAGACTCCCTCTCAATTTCTCAAGTAGTATGATTCAACAAATGATCAGCCGCGCTTTTTCTTTATATTGGAGCATAGGCACAATTCAACAAGCTGTAACTTTAGCAAAAATAGTGATAATGGGACGGTTCAAGAAAAATTTTAAAGTTTAAAGTTTTTACTTTTCAAATATATCAAATGATAACATATATTCATAATATATAACATTCCAAGCAGCACGTAAACGTTCGAGGAACGTTCACTTTACGTTCACATGGTTTGGTAAATTTAATTTAAAAAATATATTAATTGCTAAAAGATATTAATATATTAATATCCTTTAGCAATTAATATATATTTTTAAATAATTTGTTATAAATAAACATAATCAAACTTCAAGATGTATATATTTTAATTAAAAATGGAATTGTAACAGAGCAGCATAATTGTGATACTGCGTCACTTTTGCTACGTAAGATATATATTAAAGGTTCTAAAATGTATGTTCTTCAAACGTTCCCACGTTGTTTGAATATAACCAAACTAAGTTTATAAATTTTATACCAACAACTTTATAAATTTAAAAAGAACTTTGACGAATCGCCATTTATATGTCGTAAAAAATAGGTGAACTTTACATTCAATTATATATTCCTGAAAATTACAGACTTTGATCGATATGCTTCTTGGGTCAGCATTATCATTATTTTCGCGGAAGTTCAAGTTCGTTGAATATTCATCGAATATGAAATTGCGATTTTTGAAAGAGAAGAGAAATCATAGGAAAATATACGTGATATCAAACTGCACGATCGTAAAAAGATTTTTAAACGGAGAAAAGCTTCAGTTATCTCTGACCTCGTTTGAAGAACGAGAGCGTTTTGTCGCTCAAGACTGCCTCACTTGCATCGGAGAGGAGATGAATTCTTGCTCGGGAGGAAGGGGAGGGAGGGAGATAAACTATCATATCAGTAATATTTATTAACTGCTATCGATAATCTTTGCTTACAAAATATACGGATCAACGCAACCTTCAAGCAAAGTCAGAATGTTTCCGATAAAATATATCGTAATATGTAATAGCTGTTACAGAGAGAATGCATCTCCGGCATGTTCACAATGGCGGAACATATTGTTGAGGTGTCGTTAACGTGCACAGCTTCCGTTTAGCTTCCGAAATTTCCCCGCGCGCGCGGCTCGCTTCAACGCTTCCGTTTCACGTTCGCTTCGCGTTATAATTAACCTTTTGGCAGTGATAGAAGGTTCCCGGGACGCTTTTCCATCCCGGAAACCTGTATCTCGAGTATATTATCGACATACGTGCGTGCCCTATAGTATGTATGTGTGCCCAATATAATCGTTTTTACCGTCGAAAATGGTAAAATTTCGATAAATAACGCACAATCAACGTGCGTGAGGGTGCCACGGCGATAAACAACGGAAATCGAATGATGTATCTCGACGACGTACCCGTTTTCCTTTCGTTCGTTCGTTCGCTCAAAAGATTGACCCAGCCCTCAACAATGATTGCCGCGTCATCGCGACACGCTTTCACGACATAACATTCCTTATCTATGTGTGTGTGTGTGTGTGTGTATATACGCTACGACTTTTAATAGTAAGCTTATCGATAAAACTTTCTCGATTACATGTACCCTCTAATACATCGCAATATATCAGGTAACGCGTGTTACGCGTTACACGGCTATAGAGATTTCCGTTGTGACGTAAATTAAGTTGTGTTTGCAGCATTTCGGCTCGGTTACACGCGACACGGGTGAATTCATTAAGGATATCCTTTCTTATTCTTCTTCATTCTTTTTCCGGAACAACTCAAAGAGAATGCGCGAGAGAACGGCTAAAAATTCTCGTCTAGACGGAACCTTTCCGCGTACCGCGTTTTTTCCACTTCAATCGGCCGTACATATATATATATATATATATATATATATATATATATATATATNATATATATATATATATATATATATATATATATATATACGGCCACGTCGAAATCCCGAAAGCGTTTACCAATTGATCACAACCAATTGTTATTACCAATTGATACCTATCGACCGAATTTACCGGTCGAATGTCGTCGACTTAGACGGTCGATCGTTAAGAATAATGCATAGCGATAGTCTAAGTTTAGAACAATCCCGGATATAAAGTATGTTGTGTGAGTGGTGTATGTACGTGTGTGGGTGCGTGTGGGTGTGTGTATTCGTGTGTGTGTGTGTGTGTGTGTGTGTGTGTGTGTACGCGCGCGTGCGCGCGTGTGAGGGATATACTTTAAAGAGAAATACCGATAATACGTACGTATAGTTAGCGCGATTCCTTCTTATAAAATCTATTAAAAATCTACGAAAATGCTGCAATCACAGCTGACGAGTGTATGTGTGTGTGTATATATATATATATACGTGTATTTATTTTTCTACGAAAATCCTCGTACTCGATATGCATCTTGGGATTACGCTCGGCAAGTTACGTTCTGCTCCGCGCGATTAACTAATTAAAAAAATTAAACATTTCGAATAATTAATTTTTTTAATTAATCACCTCTCTCTCAATTGATTAAAAAAATCGGCGTGTCTCCCGTCGGAGGTTAACGCTGTTTCATCTTCTTCTTTCTTTTTCTCATTTTACCCTTTTTTTCTCCCACTTTTCCGTTTTTATCATTCCGTCTCCTCCCGTATTTTTTATTTTACGCGTTTACAAACTTTCGTATGTACAAGGCTAGGCATATATAATAACGCTATCCAGTCCTATAGGTGATGATTCCAACATGTACGAAGAACACTTCTGCCGGCATCGTCGCGGCCAGATCACAAGTAAAACGGGCTATCTGATGGATAGTAATTAGTGATAGTAATAGTAATAATAGTAGTAATAATAATAGTAATAGTAGTAGTAATAGTAATAATAGTATAGTTCAGTATGGTATAGTAATATAGTAGTATAGTAGAGTAATAGTAATATTAATATACATAGAACACCGTTATAAAAATGCTTACGGCTAAATCTGTGCGTTGAATCCCTTAAAATTACGTCCAGCCCTCTTCGTGCAACGGGGAATCGTCGCGAACGCTGTCACACGGCACACCCCTCGGTATTCCCCACCTCCCCTCGCGGGAAAAACCGCGATTTTCCCACCAAAGTCGCGCCACCACCGTTCGCCGATCGCTTCCCCGTTGCACCATATACAGAATTGCGTCGCGTTGTAATAATAAATCCTACGATCACGGCCGATGGAACGCCGTGCCGTTTCGCCACCCGCGTTCCGCGGGACCGAGGAACTCCTCGCGCGCGAGTGACGTGAACGAAAATAGCGAATTCAATCGAATAAGAGAATACAATATATACCTCGAAAAAAAAAGATATATATATATATATATATATGTATATATCGGCTCTCATCCCACGTAGCGTTTCTTCTTCGCGTTTCACGTCTCTCCCCGTGAGTAGAACCTTCGATCATCATCACGAACAGTGGTACCTTACTTGAGACGACGCATTTCCGGAAATTATTATTCGTATAAGGCGCGAACATTCTGCAGAAGAAGAATCTTACAACGACGAATTCCGCAAGCCATTTCCTTTAATTATGGAAAAAATGTGGACAGTTGTTCCGCTCTCTTCTGGCCTCTTCCTCCTCGCGTCTCCTAGCTTAATCGCTAAAACTCCCCCCCCCCTTTCCCCCCGCACGACCGTATATAACTCTAACACTAATGACAATAAAAATATATCTCTACGCATAACCGACTCGACAGATATGTTTTCTTCGAAGCTGCTCGCTCGCTCGCTGGAAATAAATGTCTCTGCGTGATACCCTGCGTTATACAAAGAGCCGTTTTTTATCTTAGAAGAAAAAGCACCTCGTACCGCTCGCAGATGCTGTGTGTGCATGTATGTGTGTGTGCGTGTAAATGATTCTCTCTAATGATGATGATCGTTTCCTCTCCTTTCCGGTTCTCATCCGTGCGAATCGGCCTATCTATCGCGGCGTAACAATGTCGTAGTAGTTCGCGGTATCGATTATTACAGGATGAGAGCAAAAACTCCTCCTCCCGACGCGTAAGCTTAGAGGGAATGATGAAGCTTATTACATGTTAATTAGTCTTCTAACGTTTTGATTTATTGTGTCTACGTTAGGCGGTTGTGGATCCCCTCCTCTTCACGCGAACCCTGATCCATCGAGAAACAAGCGAATCTTCGGTCCGCTCCTCACACCGGAAAACCCAGGGGATCGATTGTGTATCTCCGTCTCGGATTCTCTCTCGTCTCTCCCGTACCTTCACATCATGTGAATAAATACGCGCGCAAAGTGAGAATGCGATATTCCTACGCACAGGAAAATCCTTTGGATTTAATATTACGCGCTTGCTTGACTTGAGTTTAAACGACATAATTCAATGCCAAATATATTATTTTGACGAAAGTGTTGTTTCATTAAGAATAAACTATGTCGTTTGATGGAAAAAAAAGCAGTATTATTTAGAGGAAGTAATATTTTTCGATGAAAGAAAACTTATTTTATTATGTATTAAATATTAATCATTTTATATTAAATATCGTTCTATTAAATATAGTGTTTAAGGTAGCAAACAATCCTATTTGTCGAATGAAGTATTGGTTTCTCTGTTCCATTTCGAAAGACGAATTTGTTTCGATTAAAGCAACATTGTTAAATCCAAGGAAATCTTTTTCTCCGCGTACACGCCACCATTTGACGCCATTTGATACGAAATTACTTGTCGAGCAGCAGTCGCGTGAGATACGTCGCACTTTCATTACGGTGAAAGTTACCTAATCAAACGAGAGCTCACATTTATAATTCTTATTGCGTTCCGAGATACACAATCGCTCTCGAGCGGCGGATCGAGGAAAAAACAAAAGTATAAGGAAAGAACTTTATCCGCCGCCGAGGATAAACATGAAATCTCTCCGTATCGCTTAACTTCCTAACGAGAACACGTCGACTCCGATATTGCAGGCCTCGTTTACGCCGATCGTTTCGCAAGCAGCAATTTCGCGCCAAATTATCTCTCGTTTATCGACGACGAGGAACGCGATGCGTGTGAACGATGCCGCATCAATTTCGTGCGTTACGCGTGTGTGCCGATTTAATCGTATAAATATACCGTCTATTAAAAGTTTAACACCCTAATGTAATCGATCATCGACTTAACACCGCAGTTTCAATCAGGTGTGCAAATTAATTCGTCGTTGCTGCGCCCCTTTATTAGTCTAAAGTACGACAGCTATTCGAAAAGTGGCGAATAGGTGCTTGAACGAATAACGGGAGATCACTTTCACAATTGGAGATGCAAGTCTATCTTTGCGAACGAATTTTGATTTTTCCGAGGGAAAGGTAACGACCAATTAATTTGCGCGTCCGACAGCAGCTCGCGCGCGCGTCGTCAGTATTACAAGACGATTCGAATTCCCGTCTCGCAGGCGTACGAAACGATCGGTGTGAACCAGCGCGTATACACCTATCCTTAAGACATCTACGTACGATTTGTGTGTGTGTGTGTGTGTGTGTACAAGACGGTTTCTCGCGAAAAGTGACGGATCAGCGATTTCTTTCTCGCCATACGTGCTCGCCGCCGCCCCCGATGCGAAAATCTCTCCACGGAGGCCTTCACATTTGCACCGGCTGTTAAATTTAGACTTGCAGTTTCGCGAAGGCGGGAGGGAACGGGAGAGGGAGAGGAAGCTAATCGCGCTAGAACGCTCGAATCTCCTCGCTATAAGGAAGAACCCTCCGGCCAAGCAGCTCGTCGTCAGGTAGCACACACGTTTCCCGCGCCGCTGATTCCCACTTTTCGCCGCGCCGTTATATATATAAGTATGTTGTATTGATCTCTCGCGGTGTGTTTCATCGCACGTGATGCTCGTTACTCGTCCGATCTCTCTCAACATACTACGCGCGTCGCATGTGATTCCCCCCTCCCCCCTTTTGCCCTCCAACGGAATCCCTCGGCATTGTACATTGAGTGGCACAAAAGGTTGCGACTCTCTCTCTCTGCGTGTTTGCTCTTCCTTTGCGAGTTTCACAATACGTAATCCGTATTCGACCGTATTCAATTCCTTGTTTTCCCCCCGTTTAATCGAATCGCGGGAAGTCAATGTTTCCTATCCAAGAGGGCCCGACGTAACGGGTCGAAACCGCTTGTCAATTTGTTTAATTTTCTTAACCGCGCGGTTAACACTTTGTTCCCCGTAATTTGGCTAATTGTTCTGATAAAACACTCGCGCTGACCTTTACTTCTTCACTATTTTGATTTTGAATCTCGGAGTCTCTGTAATTGTTCTTCGATCGGTTGATCGGTTTTTCTACCAGAGCGAGAACGCAATTCCGATTCCTATCGCGGTTCGAAACGCGCTCCACCGGCGAGCCGCTTCGAGGCTCGTCCAGGTGAGGAGAAAGCGTTGTAATCCCAGTAAGCGAAAAATCATTAACACAACGTTATTGCGATATTTTGTAACATGTAAGGTTTTCAGACATGTAGTTCTCAATGTTGCACGCAATACGTCGCTGTTAACAATATTTAACCGAAACATGAAAAAAATAATTCTATATTATGATTTTAATATTTACGAACATAATATTATCAAGCGACAGGTAAAAAGCATTTTCAAAATGTTTATAAAATCCACGTAAAATCAATGTTTCGAAAGATCGATCCAATGTTTCTTGCTTACTGGGATCTTTCCGCTACTAATCAAACTCGGCCTGTCGGCGCGGCTGTGCATGCACAAAGAAAAAGAGTTAGCTTCCATGGCTAAATATAAATGAAATGAATATTATAAATAAAATGATATTAATAATATTTTAATCAATCAAAAACCACTTAGACTTGGGAACTTTTGGAATCCTGCATCTCCGGAACGGAAAAACCGGGTCAACCACTAGTAACCTATATATTTGTTTTCAGCTCATCGAGATCTTCAATTTGATACCCATTTCAACCATATATTTCACTGAATAGGTGTGGAGAATTTTGGCCGCACTCTTTCAGTTGTATTACATGCACAGTTAATTCCTTTTTTCCGTGTGTGTATCGCGCGTCACTTCCGTAGGAAGTTGCTTCGTCGTACTCACTGCTCGCGCGATAAGCGCGCGAGAAAGTCCTTAAAAGTTCAACGGAAAAATATAACGCGAGATTCACGATAGAATGTCGTACTTTTTCCTTCCTTTTTCTCCTATTCACGCACGTAACTCCTTGTAATCACCTCATTTACGTCCTCGCCCTGCGCGGGGATAGCAAATCTCGAGGGAGATTCTCCCGAGTGTTCCCCGGTGCGCGTCGCAACTTTTTACACTTTCTACACGTTTCAACGCGCGAGTGCGAATTACGTAACTAAGTAACTCGAAATCGAGAATTCAATTCGCCTAATAAAGTTTATCGCTCCGACTCGGCGGACACACGCTCGTCCGTGATTTGAACACAATTTTGTCTTTGAGAAAGCAGCGTCGTCGCGAGTCTCTCACAATGTTGCTCTCGTGGATGTCGGATACCTTCCGCGACGAAAATTCACTGCACGTAGAAGAATAATTTTGCTATTGTAGCGCAAACCACATCGTTACTATTGCGTATTCGTTGCAACAGCGATAAGATTTAGGTTGGCACACCCAAAATTGGCGAATTATTTGTAATTAGAGTAGAAAACATTTTTGTCGTCGGGATAGGAAAATTTTGCCGAGTGAACTTGTCCTTGAGACAAGTTACGTTAATTTGCTGTTAGAACAAAACAAGGAAAACAACCTATGTTTTCCCGCTGATTCGCTAATTCGTTCTTACAGCAAAATAATTTGTAGATTCAGCAAAGGATATCCAGCGATTGGCAATCAGTACTCTTAACAAATCGTTTTTGCTGTCCGCGTAATAATAACTGACGCAGATTCACACGCTGGGGCAGCAATTTGATATTTGCCGTGCTAGAAAATTATTTTTCTCCGCGCAGACGAACGTCCGCGTCGATGAAATTCCGTCGATGCAGGTGAAACACTTATCCCCGAGATGCACCTTTCGGACGTGAGGGAGAACCGAAGGTGCATCGCGAGGAAAAAGAGAGACGGACAGGAAGAGATCTCTAGTTTCATCTCGTTTGATTTCTTGAAACACGTTCAAACCAAAATCCAACGCGCACAAGCGATCGTTTCGTGTACAAAATGTGTATAGATGTGTGCGTGTGTGTGCGTGTGTGTGTATACGTGAGTGAAACGCGACAAAGCACGTTTCTCAAAGACGCCTCTGATCCCTGATTTATACGTACGTATTTATAGAACCATTTCGCACGCGCTTGTGATTCTCACTTCGAAGAAAGAGGGAAAAGGATAACGAAGACACCGTCGATTGAGAAAGTCCGATTGGCGTGGTCGGGGAACGACGAACGTAACGTCGTTCCATGTGTCTCCGCGTCCGAAACGAAATCTCGAGAAACTTCCCCAAGTTCCAGAACCGCATTTCAGGGTGCGAGAACTCCCGGAAGGTGACCGTCGGAGTTCTTCCGGTTCACAGCCGGTGAGAGACAAGGGCCGGTATTCATAATCCGGCCTTATGCATAGAGAAAAGAGTTTCTTCAAATTTAGTATTTCTATTTATTTGCCGAAAATTTGTTTCATAGAAACGACGATATGCGAAATATTATTTGTTTGAGTAAAAATTTTATTGTCTCGTTCAAGAAGATTCTATTATTTCACAGAAATAACGCTACTATTTATAATTTAAATGACATATTTTAATTGAATGAAATATCACTTGGTTACAATAAAGATGTAAAGTGAAACGAATAATTTCTTTACAAGATTATTAGCTTTCGTTGCAAACCAAATTTTATTTCAGACAAAGATACGTATTCGTTGGAGAGTCTAACAATCGTACTTATCAATCGAAACACTAATTTCTTTGAAGCATGCCAATGATGGAATTTGCTCGGACGCTATAGAATTTATGAAATTTGAAGATATCTTTTTCCCAGTGTATTTAAGATCGTTCATCTTCAGATGCTCCGTAGACGAGAAAACGATTGGTACGTGCAATATTTGCAGATCAACTTGTAACGAGCTTAAATGCAAGATCTAACTATGAATACCGTTCAGGGACACGAATTATCTCGCAGGTCGCGGTTTTTAACGCGTAGGAGCCGCCGTGTCGCGTTGATTGTCCTTGGGCTTCCACAGCTGTAAATTCGCTCCAGACTGGGATCACTTAAGCTTAGAGAGGAAGATAAAGAGAGAGAGAGAGAGAGAGGGAGAGAAAGAGAGAGAGAGAGAGAGAAGACAGAGAGAAGAGTCTACGCTTAAACTTACGTCTCCCCTCGCATTGCTCGTTCTCGAGGTGTTCCTTCGAGAGTGTACGTAGATATATATATATATATCGTCGAAACGCTCTTTCAGAACACAAATAGACTTATTCGCGTGCGCTGTGTTATGTTACTTGTCATTCGTTTTACGGATGCGCGGGGATTCGTTGCGAAACCGCCTCGCCGTAGCCCGGCTTCGTCGTCCGTGTTTTTCCGCGCGGAAACGGACACCGCTTCCATTTTCCGCGCGCGTTTCGCCGCGCCTTTCGACACCGATCTCCGTTACGGAGCCCGCATTGCGCGCCTCCTGAGGCGACCAAGGTTCATGGTTGCTGCACGCATTATTTTCGTCGTCGACTCGATTTAGAAGAGTCGCGAGGAGTGCCGTTTCGCGCAGCTCCCGAAGCCGGCGAGCGAGGGGATGAACGAACCGGCGCCCCGATTGCCGCTTAATCAAACATCGTTTAGGTCCCCTTGTTCATGATGCTGCGCGAGGCAAGGAAGTCGTCGAGTGTGTTCAAGTCAAAGAAGCTGCTGCTATCCGGTCGTCGTTTCTCGAGCGAACGAATGTGTCTCGTGGGAGAAACCGAGTTTCGCGCAGAAGCGGTGTAATTAGACTGTGTCGTCGGTGAAACCCCGACGACGGGGGATGACGGGAGAGGGGGGGAGGGATGGATGAAGATCTACATCGGCGTTGATGTCGGCTACTTTCCTTACGTCGACGAATTGCACCTACTTCCGGGCCCCGATCGCGAAGAAGCAAGGAGCGCTGAATGACGACGATGATACGCGCGCGCCCTCGTCGCGTCTCCATCGTGGCGGTGTGCGTGTCGTTTTACAAAGTGCGCCGAATGCCATTGCCATTCGCAAGAATGACGAGTGCACATCGATTAAACCAAACTATGCTCGCGCGAATCGTAGCGATGCGTGTACAGAATGGAGGAACATGTTCCTGGCGATGTGTTGGACAATGGTTGTGACGTACTCGAGCATGGTGACGACAAAGGCAGCGCCTTCCTCGAGGCAAACGATACCTAGGTGTTGTGGCCCTGCTTGTGAGGCTGCTTGTTCTCCTGGTTGGACGTAGATCGACCCACCAGGTCCTCGAGCTCGTCCGGCGTCAGGACGGTGAAGTCCCTGTTCGAGAGGAACGAAGAATTACGGTGGAATATGCGGTAGATTGTGAGACCGAACAATCCGCAATTCGGAAGGGGCCGATGCTCGGTTTCCCTTCAGCTTCGAAATCCCCCGCTTCACTCGGCATTCGTAAAAACCGGAAGCACCGCGAATTCAATTTACGATCGGGACATCTTCGCAATGCTGAGCAAGTTTTGTTAGAACAGCAAATTGTTTGTTAATACAGTGACGGCAGAAAAATTTGTTAGACGGAAAAAAAGAATTTTGCTGTTGTAGCAAAACGTCGTTGCGACAGCGATAAAATTTAGCTGGCATAACCAAATTATTTTGCTGTCCGTATATCCAGCAAATAGCAATTAATATTCTTAACAAGTCTTTCTGCTGTCCGAACAAGTTTTTTTTGCTGTCACTATGTTAACAAACAATTTGTTGTTCTAGCAAATTTGTTTCCTCCGTGTGTACATTTCGCATCTTCAGACCGAGCAAGATATCTGGATGAATGGATTTTTGTGACGTACAAATGTTGAACTACTTTAGCAGACGTATCGTTAAATCGCACGATACACGGAGAAAAATGATTTTTGTATTACAGCGAAGCCACATCGTTGCTACTGCGTATCCGTTGCGACAGCAGTAAAACGCGGTTGGCATAACCAAATTAGCGAATTATTTATAATTAGAGCAGAGCCAGTTTCGTTGCCAGGATAGAAAATAGTCCGCTGAGTGAATTTGTTCTTAGGACACGTTAATTAACGTTGTTAGAACGAAATGGTCCTACTTTTATCAATTCGTTCTTGCATCAAAGGAATTTGTAGATTCAGCAAAATAATTCAGCAAACGGCAATTAGTATTGTTAACCACTCGTTTTGTTATCCGTACAGTAACATACCGACAGATTTTGCCGCGGCGGCAAATAGAATTTGCCATGCGAACAATTTATTTTCTCCGCGCACGAGCACGGTGAAAATTTTACTGTCAATATGATGTATTATTCACCGAGAAATCTCTCTCTGTGTGGCTACAAAACCGCAGCGATTAAAGAAAAAGATCCACAGAGGGAAAACCTCCGTTCGGGTCCTGAAATATTCACACACTCTAAAACTTCCCTACAACCAAAGAAAGACGGAGGAAGAGAGAGAGAGAGAGAGAGAGATAGAGAGACATTGAACATTGGCCTTTTTTCTTTGGAGGAGCGGATATACCTCTGTCTGTCTGTCTTTCTTTCTCTGCCATGCTCACGAACGGTAGATCCCGACCCCGACACGATCGATCGGTCGGTCGCTTTACCTGTGCTGTGCTAGAAGCATGTCTATGCTGGTGACGCTCCGTTGATGAGTGCCATCTTTCTGCGCCGCGCTCTGTCTCCTGATGCAAACGGCCCTCAGTGGTGCGAGGAACAGACCGATCACCAGGAGGCCGCTGCCAGTGGCGATCAAGGCCGCCGAGTTCTGTGCGGCCTCCGCACCCGGCGCGAGCTGAACCAGGCCGACCACCAGCACCACCGCTCCCAACAGCAACGAGCCGACCACGACGTACAGCGAGTTTACCTGCGGTTCAATGTAATTCGAGTTGATTGGCGAGGGTTGCGGGGGAAGTACCGGGGAAAAGATTGCAGTGGAAGAATTACAAAATTTCGTAATGCCGAACCATAACGGAATTATGATTAAAATTATGTCTCTTGTAATCTTCAACAATGTGTGTCATGTGTATGTACACAGAGAAAAAGGTTTCTTCAGATTTAATATTTCGATTTATTTGACTAAAATTTGCTTCATAGAAATATATACAAAATATTTGTTCGAGTGAAAATTTTACTGTCTCATTCAAGAAAACTATTATTCAACAGAAAGAACGCTATTATTTGAAATAATATCTTTTAACTAAATAAAATATTACTTGGATACAGTAAACGTGTAAAATGAAACAAACACTTTCTTTACAAGAAAATGATCTGTCGTTGCAGACAAATTTTTTATTTAAGACAGAGATACACATTCGTTGAAAAGCCTAACAATCGTACTTGTTAATCGAAACATTAGTTTTGTTGGAGCATACCAATGATGAAATTTGTTTGGATGCGATAAAATTGATTAAATATGAAGGAATCTTTCTCTCAGTGTATTACATCAAAGATTACAACTAGAAATGTTCGTTTTTTATTCAATTTTTTAGAAAATCGAATTTTCTTCACAAAAATCGACTTTATTAGATGGATTCTCTTCTGCGCAAACATCCTTGATTACAACATGCGTAATAATTTCGGCAATAATTCCGGTGTAATCCAGCATTAACTTTTGTAATAATCCTTACTACAATATTTTCTGTGCGCAGTAGCCGAAGGTGGCCGAGCACACTGTTTACCTTTCCGCAGAAGTAGTACTCCGGTGGTTCCTTGTCTATCATAGCCAGTACCGCCTCGCTCTCCGCCAAAGGGCTCCCCGGCTGGCTGTTGCCCGCTCTCGAGCTCTTCTCCTGGTAATACGTTTTGTGGAAGACCTTCACCGTGGGCACCGGTAACGCCGTAATCATCTTGCCTGCCGGGGGTACGGAACAAACAAGGTTTAACTTCGTTTCCGTTTCTCTCCCTCTTCTTTATCTCTCTCTCTCTCTCTCTCTCTCTCTCTCTCTCTGTCAATTCGTCGTCGACTTCGCTCCGCCAGGTGTGATGTAATTGAACGCGCGAGGGGGGCGCCAATTAGTCAGATAACATCGGGACAGCCGGTAAAAAATTAATGCACGCGACACAGTTCTCCAATTACGAGGCTTCTCGCGCGCATCGAGCATTAATTCGCGTCGCCGTAATTCACGTGGCGATATCCATCTCGCGCGCGAGAGAAAAAGAACGTGTTTCCCGTTGGATCGTGGCAGGCAGCCGCGTGTGAGATTCGACGCGGGACGTCTCCCAGCCTGTCCTTCGTGCGTCGCGGATCGCGACGCTCGAATTGGCGCACCGACCGTTCTCCTTCGGTGTGTGTTTTAGTGGCCGGATGTGCAATGGTGGAGGCGATTACTCGGCAAACTCGGCGGTGGTGTCGGTGGCCTAGATATGTTCTCGGGGGCGATGGCCTTTGTACCTCGATTATCGAACAACCGAAGTGCTAGCGCAGGGTGCAGGTATACACACCGGCTAAAAAACCGACCGACGTCGTCGTCGTCGTTGGTCGCATGAGTACAAACGGGTAGACCGCCACCACCCTCTTGTATAATCCGAAATTCGTCTCCCTCCCTCCTTTCCTTGCCTCCTCTTCCTTCTTTCCCTCCTTCCCTACCCCTCCGGTTCTCCTTTCCCCCGCGTCGATACGCGTTAACGATAAATGTGATCTCGCGTGACCGCGCGTTTTGCGTTTACAGCGGGGCCGGAGAGGGTCGGAGGGGGGGGAATAAGAGCGAAGCAGAAAAACACGCCATTCTCCGGCTCTCGTATAATTCAGCGCGACCGGCATGCGAGAGAAAGAGAGAAAGACCCGATTTTAATATGATTAATATATATCTCCTTCCTCGGTCTCCCTCCCCTTCCCTTCGTTCAGCCCGCGAGATAACTTAGCGGAGTTAATAGCCGCCAACGCGGCCAACGTCGCCGCGACCCTCGCTGGGCCGCGAGGAGCGCCAAGATTTCGATTTGCAATGCCGAATCGCGCCGGTGAAATATGTGCATAATAAACGGATAACCTTTATCGCTTTAGAAAGGCGTAAAGTGGAACAGTGGCCTGATTCCTCGATGTCATGGTTGCGGCTCCACGTGCATCGTGGAGAGAGAGAGAGAGAGAGAGTAGGCCAGTTATAGGCGCATGAATGTGCAACTAGTATTACACTACTATCTTGTAGCCTGGATTTCTGCCAAAATCCTGGCCGGATACGCGCTAAGGAGGAGCATAAGGAGGAGAGGAAAGAGCGAGGATATCAACTCGTCCTCCACCCCCCCCGGGGACCCCATTCTGCACGCGTATCGAACACCGTACATGCCTTTTTCAGCTTCGACGACAGAAAAACGGGACTCCGAATTAAAAGGATACCATACGTCCGTAATAAGGCCCTTATTCTCGAGAATATGTGAAAGATGTTACATACGATACTTCACGAGTGTCAATATCGCATTTCGCGGCCAAATTTGAATTATCACGAGTAATTCGTATGCGGTGAACATCGCATATTTAGTAGGGTCAGATTATGCGAAAAAAAACATTGTGAACGAAGTCGTAAAATATTGTATATGCGATATTTTTCGCGTATATTCGAGAAGGAGAATTTACATGGAAAAAAATCAATCTTAAATCAATGATAGATATTTTTGTATATAAACGAGAACATTATAATCTTCTTGAAAGATTTGTAATCTTACTTGGATCGGTTTTGCGTATTGATGCAAATGTTACTTGCACTCGATTCAAGACTGAGGATCTTCCAAGAATATTCTCGCTTGCACATGAGAGTACCTATCATTGATTTAGGACTGTTTGTTCTCTGCGTACGATTCCGCATTATGCTCGATTTCGAAAATCCCGTATTTCCTCGCCGTCCGTTCGCGATTATTATTCATGTCGGACGGCGTTGGACACGCGTGTTCGGCGCGCATGCAATTCGGCGTTGGAGGGTAAAGTGCGACGCTACCACCGAGGTGGTTCACCCTTTCGCGGAAGATACCAACTCGTGGGCCGTTCTACTCGTTGGGCGATATCACGGCGAGAGCGGCGAATCGCAAATTTCGGGAAGAACGACGTGACGAGAATGATGCCTGCCTTTCTCTTTCTTATTGTTCGACCTTTCGCGACGCAATTTGCCTGGCCGGTCGGAGGCTATCCGGGGCTACGTGGTTCGCCCGGAAAGACCGGAGAACCGTCGACCGCATTGCCGTGAGACCCGGCCGACGAAAACAAGGGAGGCGATTAATTTATGGCAACGACCTACACTTTTCGTGCATTGACTCGCGCCTGGTTACCGTTGATATTCCGTTTGGCTGTGCTCCAGAAAAATAGCTATAACAGTTTCCGATAATCGAGGTTAGTGCACGCCATATGGCCGTGTGTCCATTCCTATCGCGATTTCATTAGCCTTAGCAGCCACTCGCGAGGGAGAAGGAAATATAGCCGTCCGCGAGAAACGGAAAGCGGTATTTATATTTGTCGACAGACGAGATAACAAATCCGTACACTGCCCCTTTCCGGGGTGCATATCTCACGGAGATAATAACGAGATTCACGAGCTTTTCTCAATTCGAGCCGGGCTCGAAAACATGACTTTCTATGCGTGTCGGATCTCTTGACACTCGACGCTCGATTTTGCCCTGCAACTGATCGAAATCTCAGCTCTACTAGCCGGTATAACGCGAATGATGCCAGATGTATGTGTGTTGCACTAAAATCTCGGAAGATCGATAAATGGGTCACCATTGCACATGTAACATCCAAGGGGAATTTCACGCTTTACCGATAAGCGTTCAAACACTGAGTCGGATATTCTATATCGAACGCGTCCCTGAGCAAATTAAGGCAAGTGTGTTTGAGTCTCGTTAATCGGTAAACCGAAATTTCTCGCGGCACATCCACGGAGGGAACACACAGCCAACCGAGATGATTGTACACACCGGTGTAATATTAAACGCGAAAACGTAGTAGGGCGAATTACCCGCTAACGAGACGTTCTGTTGCCCCATATTTGTTCATCCGCGAGAGAGAAGAGCAACGGGGAAATAACGAACGATGGCAACCGAGCTCGCGATGTTTGGCGGTGTTGGTGCGGGTTTCTCTCTCTCTCTCTCTCTCTTTCTCACCATTTGCATTCCGAAAAATGAAAAATTGCAGGTGGATGCGGCTCGTGAATGTGGAAAATTACGGGGAAAATTTCACTCGCTTCCCCGAGCACGAGCTTGCAATGACTGCTACGCGAGAGAGAGAGAGAGAGAGAGAGAGATACATGTCACCGAGGATACCGGAGAACGCATTTTCCGGCGGAGGAGAGAGATCAATCGTTCGTTATTGCGCGAAAAAAGGAGAAATTGCCTTCGTTTCACCCTTCTTGTCTTGTCTTGTCGTCGTATTCGACTTACCTGGTTAGCTGGAAATCCTGCTGGAACGTAAGAGAAAGAGAGAGAGAGAGAGAGAGAGAGAGACTACGAAGAGCCTCCTAGCTTCGTCGTGTTTCACCACGGGGAGTTGCTGCTGCTGCTGCTGCACTTGGGAAAATACCGGATAGGTGGAAAGCGGTGAAAAGAAAGAGCGCGAGGCGAAAGAAGCGGAACGAACGACGAGCGGGGGTGGGAGGAAATGAGAGCACCGTAAAGCCCGTAAAGCACGCTCAGCTGAAACCGTTTTGACGGGGTGGTGGTCCCGCGACTACTGAACCTTTTGAGATTCGTATCCTGGTCGATAAACTACCCTACACAGCCGCCCACCAGGCCTGTGCTAAAAGTATCGTCGCACCGACGACCACCTGGTGCGTCGAGCTCGCATTGCGCGCGCATGCATTTACCATTTCCGAGATGACGTCCTCCGGCCTTTTCCAAAACAAACGATCGCGACGTACTCTTCAAGAGCACGGGCTCCTAAAGATCCTGCCGGAAGGGAGAGGGGAAACAGGAAATGAGAAAGCACGCGTGCTGAAACTTGAGATCGCGTCAAATTCGGAGAATTCGATCCGAGATGTGGCGCAAGTTGCCGGACTGTTAGCGGTCCCGATTGCAAAATTATTCTATTCTCTGATTCGGAAAATCATGAAAAGCCAATACCGCGTTCTTCCTACACGGTAAAAAATTTTGCGTCAAATTTGACACATTTCGCGTGTCTCAAACGATCCATACACAAATTTTCGCGTTAATCTAACACAGAGCGAATACGTTGAAGAGCGACGCGAATATTACGTGAAAAATTAACGCGAAATTAATATCTGTAATATTTTAATCGACACTCAAGTACAATATGTGTTATTTTAACACTTGCGCATGTTGAATATCAACTTGACAGAAAATATTGAGATAACGCGATATGTTAAATTAACGCACGGATGCGTTGAAAATTTAACGCAGAAATTTTTGCCACAACCGATTTTAACGCAAGCGCAAAATGTTTCTTACGCGTACCTTCCTCGATGACGTACGAATCGAATAGGCACGGAGAAAACAAATTCTGCTACAATAGCAATGTTTCAATATCAATATAGTGGCAGTAAAAAAAATTTGCTCAGACAGCGAAAAATTCGTTTGGACGGCAGAAAGAGTCGTTAAGGATATTAATTGTCCGTATATCCAGCGAATGACAATTAATATTCTAACAAATCTTTCTGCTGTCCAAACAATTTTTTTTTTGCTGTCACTACATTGACAAATACTTGCCGTTCTATCAAAATTTATTTCCTCTGTGGGCGCTCTCGATGCTGGGATTTTGGCGAATACAGCAGAACGGGAATGATTCTCACACACACACACACATACAAGACAGCTTATTGTTAGTGAAAACGTTTTATTAAACTCTGAAAGTTTAAAATAGCGATAGAGCTGACTTTTGCTTACAGTTTTGTTTTAATGTAGAATCACATACAAGGTATATACCGCCCGTGTGTTCTCGCGCGTAACGGCAACGTCGGGAGACGACGACGACGACGAGTCGCGATGATCGATCGACCGTTACCGAGACCTCTTCTACCACCAGCTCGTTCCGCGCGGCAGAAACGACGCGAGGGGGGACACTCCGCTCGCGGCACGTTACGCACGAGGGGCTCGCTCGCATTACAAGATAGATTTCGGACAAAGTGTCGTGATGAAACTTTCATAATAATTGTCGGTCGGTCCGCGCAAACGGAACGTCGTGTCTATCGTAGTTGCAGATTATGGCTCCGCGTGTAACCGTATATATATATATATATATATATATATATATA